GAAAAGGTTTTCCTTATTGCTTGATCGATATTCTGATTTTGTGAGGATTTCCAAGAGAAATTTACCAATTGTTTGCGAAAATTTGCAAATAACAGTACATTCCGAGTTGCCCAAAGTTTTGGAATGGAAAAGTGGGCAATTTTCAAAGTTCCTTTCAAGGTCTGAGCTTCGGGATTGCTCAACTTACACACTGTCGCCAAAAGAAGTTTTTTGGGATGGGGCTTCTAAGATTGATTCGAAGATTCATTCGAAGATTCATTTTCCAAAGTTTTCTCATGAAACACTTGACTTTTTTGATCGAAATGTGATAGACAGCCAATAGACAGCCAATTCTGAGATGGAAAGCTCTTTGCTTGATGGCTTTCATGGTAAAAGACAGTTTTGATTCCTTTGAGAAATTCCGGAGAAGTATCGTAGTTAGATTGAATCAAAAACAGATCTCAAGAAGCTCAACAATATATTTGTCGTAGCCGAAAAGGTTTGGAAGATTATCGGCTAGCCGAAGAGAAGAGAAGCTAGCTGAGAAAACAAGCTGAACATGTGAAACCGAAAATGCTTGCAGAAAATGCTTGAACCTTCAAGGAACAGGGTTTCTGGGTCGACTTGTTTATTCTACAAGTTTTTAGATTTGAGCTAGTTGAAGTAGGAACAACAGTCAGTTTGCTGATTGTCTAGTCATCGGCTAGTCAGTTTGCTGATCGATGCTGTAGTTGATTGGCTATCCTTCACTCTTTGGCGTAATGACTTATCGAGTCGGAAGATGGATTTTACCGGATTGACACTTCTAATGGCATACTTCAATATCCTAAATCCTGGCTAAATACTGGCTATGCTATTAGCGAAATCTAGCTAGCTTATCAGCTTATCAAGGAATCAATTTGAATCCGCTAGCAGCAACTTTTTGGCAGTTGAAGATAAGTCAATGAATGAATGAATAAAACATCGTTTCGGCTATTGATGCCAATCATTGACGGGCTCGCAAGGTATACTTTAGTTCATCCCACTAATTTTTCAATAAGAGCTTTTCTATTCTTTACTTTTAGGGCAACTGCACAAATGGATATGGGAATGGAAGGTGCGGATGCTTTAAATCAAATGTTATTTGCAATAGTCGTTGTCACAATAACAAGAATTGCAACAACACGTGAAATCATCATATTTTAAGCTTATTAACCGATTGGGATAGGCAAATATTTTGTTGATTTGGTTGATTTTGTTGATTTGGTTGATTTGGTTCATTTTGTTGATTTTGTTTGTTTTGTTTGTTTTGTTTTGTTTGTTTTGTTTTGTTTGTTTTGTTTTGTTTGTTTTGTTTTGTTTGTTTTGTTTGTTTGTTTTGTTTGTTTGTTTTGTTTGTTTGTTTTGTTTGTTTGTTTTGTTTGCTTGTTTTGTTTGTTTTTGTTGATCGTGATTCTAGAAGGTGTTTCCATAAATGGAAATTAAATATCATAATATTAAACGATCAAGCTGAGAAAGAATATTTTCTTCTAATGGTTTTAAATTTCAAACCGTATCGGCTAGCCAAAAAGGTTTCAAACCTTTTCAGCTACGAAATATGGACATTGTAAATTTGTGAATGTTGAAAATCTCAAAACAAGCTTCATTTCCACTATAAAACCGATAAATTTCTCTTTATTGCCGGTGATTTTGTAAAGAAATTTATTACTGTAGTTGCTTTTTCTAGAAATTTTAACAATTTTCACAATTTTTACAATAAAATACATCTTTTCAAGCCTCAGAAGAATCAAAAAGCTCAAATTTATCAAAGCAGTTCGTCGTTTGGTTTGTGAGTTTTCGCTGTGCTTTTGTGATTTACAATTGCCTTTCTTTGAATCATTTTTCTCAACCTTGTAAAGGTTTTACTCGAAATAAACAGTTTACACGATGTTTCAAAACACAATGGAACAGATGATTTGTTAGAGACTCGAGTATTTCTATCAACAAATACTTTTAACATGTCTAGTCCATCTAGCACTATGTCTCTTCCAGAACTTTTCCTTTGTTTTTATGGAAATAATTGGATTAACAGGCCAGATCTTATCAGATTTAGCAAGAAATCCATTCGTTCTAAGCCAATACTTGGCCAGTGTACTGCATTTTGAATGCACATTTCACTTTTGACAGCTTTCTCCTTATCAACCTGTCAATTACTTGGTCAGTGTTGTAAGTGCTTCTTCAAATCCAGCGATCATCTCCGTTGTGGTCTAGTGGTTAGGATTTATGGCTCTCACCCATAAGGCCCGGGTTCGATTCCCGGCAACGGAATGATCTTTTGCTTATCATCGACATCATCGACAGATAGAAAATAATCATCGACATTTATCAGCTTTTGATGGTCTATATCAACAAATAATTTTAACATGTCTAGTCCTAATTTTAACCTGTCTCTTCCAGAACTTTTCCTTTGTTTTTATGATAATAATTGGATTAACAGTCCAGATGCTCATCTTACCAGATTTAGCGAGGAATCCATCCGTTCTAAGCAATTAGTAAATTCATCAGCTTCATCATTAGTACTTGAGAATGATAGTGTAGTTTTGAACCTAATATTTGGTAAATTAACCAGATTCTGTTTACTATTAGGCTAGTTTATGGAATTGGGTTAACTTTTTTTCAACTTCAACACTTCAAGTATCATATGATTAGCTGCTCAATACTTGGCCAGTGTACTGCATTTTGAATGCACATTCCACTTTTGACAGCTTCCTCCTTATCAACCTGTCAATTTGCTTGGTCAGTGTTGTAAGTACTTCTTCAACTCCAGAAACAATCTCCGCTGTGGTCTAGTGATTAGGATTTATGGCTCTCACCCATAAGGCCCGGGTTCGATTCTCGGCAACGGAATGATATTTTGCCTTTGGCGAGAAAATAATCATCAACATTTATCATTCATGAATGTTCAGCTTTTGATGGTTCAGCTATTTTCAGAATGCGCACTTGAGGTCAATGCATATAATCCTGCCTAATCAAGTCTAAAGGAATGGGTCTGGTACAAACCTTGGTAGATATTTGACTGACAACTATAGGTTCTATATATTGGAGTGATTTAGTAATGCCATTCTAACTAGTTACTAGTGATTCTAACTGTTACTAGTGAGGATAACTTGGATTTGTTTATAAAATGACAAGTTCAAGAACCATGCCAGAGTTTTGCTCCAAGAAATCCCTAGTAAACAGAATCAGGTTAATTTACTAAATATTAAGTTGAAAACTACACTATCATTCTCAAGTACTAATGATGAAGCTCATGAATTTACTAATTGCTTAGAACGGATGGATTCCTCGCTAAATCTGGTAAGATGAGCATCTGGCCTGTTAATCCAATTATTATCATAAAAACAAAGGAAAAGTTCCGGACGAAGAGTGCTAGATGCACTAGACATGTTAAAAGTATTTGTTGATAGAAATATAGACCATCAAAAGCGTTTATTAGCAAGTAATCTGTCAGCTCTCAGCGCTAATCAATTTCCTTTTCTTTCTCTAGAGTTCTCATGCCCCTGTATCATCAGTTCTCATTTGGCTCTTCACTTATCGGAAATCTCTCATCAACAAATTTTGAATCGGTCAATGTTTTGGAAGAAATCAAAACCAAATTAGTTCATTTGTGCATTCAGAGATAAAGCCTTAAGAGTCAGTTTTTTTCTTTTCTACAAGACGTTTTACATAACATCATGGGATAATATGAGCCTGTTAATCCAATTATTATCATAAAAACAAACGAAAAGTTCTGGAAGAGACAGTGCTAGATGGACTAGACATGTTAAAAGTATTTCTTGATAGAAATATAGACCATCAAAAGCTGAACGTTTGAGGATGATAAATGTTGATGATTATTTTCTCGCCAAAAGCAAAAGATCATTCCGTTGCCGGGAATCGAACCCGGGCCTTATGGGTGAGAGCCATAAATCCTAACCACTAGACCACAGCGGAGATTGTTTCTGGAGTTGAAGAAGTACTTACAACACTGACCAAGTAATTGACAGGTTGATAAGGCTGTCAGGAATTGACGGGAATTTATAGGAAAGCTGTCAAAAGTGGAAAGTGCATTCAAAATGTGGTACACTGGTCAAGTATTGAGCAGCTAATCATATGATACTTGAAGTGTTGAAGTTGAAAAAAAGTTAACCCAATTCCATAAACTAGCCTAATAGTAAACAGAATCTGGTTAATTTACCAAATATTAGGTTCAAAACTACACTATCATTCTCAAGTACGAATGATGAAGCTCATGAAATTACTAATTGCTTAGAACGGGTCCCGCAAATCTGGTGAGGCACTGGCCGTTAATCCAATATACAAAAAACAAAGAGCTGGAAGAGACAGGAAAATTATTGTGATATAGACCATCAAAAGCGAAAATGTGATGATTATTTCATCTGTCGATGATGTCGATGATAAGCAAAAGATCATTCCGTTGCCGGGAATCGAACCCGGGCCTTATGGGTGAGAGCCATAAATCCTAACCACTAGACCACAACGGAGATGATTGCTGGATTTGAAGAAGCACTTACAACACTGACCAAGTATTGACAGGTTGTGGGAAAGCTGCAAAAGTGAAAGTGCATTCAAAATGCAGTACACTGGCCAAGTATTAGCTTAGAACGGGTGGATTTCTTGCTAAATCTGATAAGATATGGCCTGTTAATCCAATTATTATCATAAAAACCAAGAAAAACCATGTTCAAACGACGTTAGTCAAATGTTTCTGAATATCTTCACGATGATTACTATAAGTTGACGAATATTGCTTAATATTGTCAGATGATCTTTTCGTTTTCAAATAAAATAACAAGGCTTGTTGGACACAAAACTATAAATTGGGAATGTTTTTTAGTTGACTCAAAAGATTCGCAAATTAATTCAATTGTAAGATTGTCTAGTAGAGACAATGCATCTAATGCTGGCTAGTCAAGTCTAAAGGAATGGTTCTGGAAAACATTAACCAAACTATAAATTACAAGGAAGTCATAGTCTATGAGTAGCCTAATTTGCTATTTTAGATGATGGTGGTTTATGATCCGGCTTGTCGTATCTCATCCAAAAAGGCCTTGCATCACGCATACTTCAATGGAATCGAAGTGAGCGTTCTTCCCGCTGGCAGCTATCGTGGAGAGCTCGTCTTGCAATAATGATCTGTGCCATATGTGTATATTTGTAACGGACCTTGAAACTTATTTATTCTCTTCACTGCAATTATTTATTATGAACTGCAATTTTAAACTGAAATAGCTTCACAACTATCAACGTTTTCAATACCATAATCTTTTAAATTCAGCAAAGATCCTATTCTAGTTGGTGTAGGTGAAAAAAGTACAGTATACTGTACTACTGTACTACTAAAATGCTGTGTAACAACATCACTTGAAACTGACCCTCTGCCAGAAACTCTAATAATTTTTCCCTTTTAAAAATTGAGCCAGAAAAGGTTGAATCTCACAAATACTTCTAGATTCTCCTCCCAGATGTTACTCTTATTGTTCCGTGGTGTTCATATGCGTTTGCTATGGTTTCCGATCTTCGTCTACCACAAGGTATGTTCGGTTTATTAGCAAGTAATCTGTCAGCGCTCAGGGCTAATCAATTCCCCTTTCTTTTGATAAAATAAAAAGCCCTAAGGTATGCTGTTCAAGAGCAGGCATGCATTTATAACTGGACAACCTAATATAATGTGGGGAGATCTGGTGCAAGAACCCCTTGCAACCGATTTTTGCATAAATGAGACCCGACAAGACCGAGGCCCACATCGTCTTGTAGCCGGCATCCTAAACGAGATCGTGTCAACTAGTGTAGGAACATATGCAAACTATGTATATAACAAACTCTTCCCTACTTCATGTTCGATCCGGAAAAACGTCTCGTTGACCATGTACCGGGAACAAGACTCGTGTTGATTCAATGTTCTTCCCACTTTTGCGTCTCTGTAGATTATGGCGTCCACATCGATGGGTAGCTCTCCTGAAACCGAACATATATGACCGTTTGGGGTGGAGTTGTGTTATTGTCTCATAATACAGACCGAAAAACATTGCGATTGAAATCGGCTTGCTGTTTTGATCGACTCTCGTCGGGAGGTCCATCGGAAAGGCTTCCATTTGTTCCTCCATGAGTTTCGGGGCTTGTCTGTACAATTATATTATAGCTCCGATAGATCTATCCATAATCTCCCAAAATATTTATTACCTTCTCATGGGGAATTGTCCCCTTGAATCGAGGATCATCACATGAACGCCCGGGTGGAAGCTCCCATCGGCGACCTTTGGAGAATGGGTTTCGGACCGAACAATTCTCGTCGATTCTTTCTGTATAGGGATCAAAAATGATCCTTATAGTCAAGGTAACTGTTTTGGATAGGTCTGAGTGTACATGTGCGCGTAGAGCGATGATTTCGTTGAGCTATTCACTCATTCGCACAACACCAGCATAATATCACATTCGAGACGAGGCTTCTCATCGATTTGAACCCAATCCGTGTATTTATTTCGGGGGCTCTTTTCAAAAGTTGCGCATCTATGAATTCTATATAAGTATTTTCTAATTCTAATGTAAATTAGTCAAATAATCCATCAAGCATAACAAGGGAAAATCTTGGTTTTTTTAAAATCAAATGTACCGTCGTCGATTGATAGATCCTATTGGTGGGAGTCGAGTATCATTGATCTTTGCTCGTTTCGTTTCATGAGCTTTTTGCTGCCCCTGCGGACCGAAATCCTTGGGATGAATCCAAAAATTCATAGCGGCTCCCTTCAGCACCCTTTTACAGGCACTTGGAATCCCATTTCGACCGGCGGAGAACCCGCCATTGTGGTCAAAATGAGCCGGAATTGGGTTAGCCAATCCTACAGCCGAAGTTAGTTTGGGAAGCGGTGACCACATGGGGCAGACAACGGATTGGTTACCAGATGACCCAAAATGGACGCTTCCGATTTGGTTAGCGAAAAGGGAGCTATATGCCCAAACGTACTATGCCAGATCGAACGCGATTGTGCTCGCGCACAGGGAACACGCGGTGACCTTCTTTTTTGCACTTTTAAAGTTCAAAAACCACATTTTTGAAAAGAAAAATTGCAATCGGGGTTTTCGGGGAATCGATTGACAGTGTTAGTTTTAATTGACGATTGGCAGTGTTTTCTTACAGAAAATCAATCTAAAATCAATGATTTCAATAGATTTCCCATTGAAGAATGGGAAATCACAACGAATGCACAACAGCTGGAACCAGTGAACAATGTATTGCTACAAAAAGGCCTTGATCCTTCAAACATAAAGTTCATTCAAGATAACGCCCGTCCACACGTTGCAAAGCTTGTTCAGGAAAAACTCGAAGAGTTGGGCTGGGAAACTCTCCCGCATCCGCCATATTCTCCGGATATTTCTCTTTCAGATTACCATTTATTTTGCTCAATGCGAAATCATTTGGCTGGAAACAGGTTTAAAGATGTTCAAGAGGTCGAAAAATGGTTAACCGACTTCTTTGCCTTCAAACAAGCCAATTTTTACGCCGAAGGAATTCATTCTTTGCATGGAAGATGGAAACAAATATTGTTAACATATGGTGAATATATTGTTGATTGAGCTATTAAACTCTTGGTTTTGAAATAAAGAGTTGTTATCTTAAAAACGCGCATTTATAACTGGACAACCTAATAGAATCGACTACGCCGATTCCAAACTCATTTTCAGTTTTTGCCCTCGAGGCCTGTAACGCGACATATCTGGGTTACAAGTTTTAGGCCTCCTTACTTGAATTAATTTTTCTCTAAAAGTCTTCGATAGTTTTAGAATCCAGACCCAAACCTGATCTGGTTTACAAACCCTAGAAACCGGTTGGAATATCCTTTATTTGAGTGGCTTTTAAATTGTCTGTAACTTTCGCAAAAAGTAATGATGCAATCATTTTATGGCATCTTTGAGTAAGTCCAACAAATTCCAGAGTTCAAGAAACAAAGAAACTCTTCTAAAAGTTACACTTGACCCAGATCAGTCTTGGCTTTTAAAGGCACAAAAATGTTTAGCAAAACCTTGTTATTCTCTGTGGCAATTTGCGGTTTCTGGTACAAAGCTTCTACAATAAATTTATTCATATAATAAAAGGCAAAAGTTAGGAGGAAATTTGGAGAAAACATCTTAAAAACATAGCTAAAGAACTATAAAATAAGTGAGATCAAGAATTGTTTTTGAAGAGCTCAGACTAGAGCCAACGACGATCCTTGTTCAGCGGCTGCTTCCTCTTCTCTATCGAGTTTCTCTTGATAGTCAAAAATCACCTTCCAGGGGTCCTCATTCCTGAAAACAGAAATTAAGATATTTCTTTGAAATTCTTCCCATAATCATTTATATATGTTATTCATTATCAAAATTAAATGCCGTGCGACTCCAGATTAGCCTGTAAAAGTCTCTCAAATCATTATTTTAATGTACTCTATAGCTACCCATTCTTGCATTGATACTATTCATTTTGAAATTGCAAACAAGAGAATATCAAGATTAAGATTCAATCAGTTCAAACTTCTATCCAATCACAATTCTTCTCAAAACCCACTTGAATGCCTCTTCCTCTTCGGGAGTGAAGTCGTTCTCCAATCCCCAAATCTCGCGGATCTCTTCCGGAGATTTTTCCTGAAATTTGAATTGAAAAGAGTTAAAAATTTGAGACTTACTCAAAGCTTTTATAGCTATTTCTATGCAAATCTCTCTTTGAAACTCACCTTGATCATATCGGCGATTGTTTGAGCGCATTTATCGAGAAGGCACTTGATGTCCATGTAGTTGGCGGCCTGGAAAAGGAATTGGTAAGGGTTTTTCAGATTGAAATGGTAAGATGTTTTGATTTTATTACCGAAAAGGCTTCTAATGTATTATTTGCAAAAGCCAACCAAGTAAACATCGTGAAGCGCCTCGGAAGTCTCGGAAGTCAGCTCGGCCATGAATTCTTTCTCCCATTTCGTCAACTCAGCATCGCGTTTGTTTTCCCACCTGAATTATTAGAATTAAGGCTTTTTGCGAGTAATCAAATTGAAAACTTCACTGCTAAATATTAACTTATTTAGTTATTCAATTAAATCAATGAATTCACCCACCATTTCTCCTCTTCCCAAGCCGGACAGTCGCGGTGTTGTTCACACCAGCGAATGATCTGAAATTGTAAGATGATTTGAAGAATTTTATTCAGACTTGCAACTGATGAAAAGTTGATTTTATAAACGATTAAAATCATTTAAAACTCACATAATAAAGGCTTTCACTGGAAACATTTGGAAGAGCCATCGGTTCCATTTTTGAGATCGCCTCATCGTCTGTCAAACCGGTGTTCTGAAAGAGAAAAGGGATTTAAACTGGGAGAATCGTCAAATTTTATAGATTTCTATGCTAAATTAGAGAAACATGCTATTTATTTTCTCTCCAAACCTCAGCATAGTGATTGACGGTTCCACAGATTTGCGCCGCTTTCTTCGACAGGGTGAACTCCTTGTCTTCCTTGGAGATAACCTGGAGAAGGACATAAGCTTTTAGACTTCAAATGATCAGTATTATTAAAAAAAACTGATTTTGTTAATCTTTTAACTGAATATTCTTTGTTCTAGTGGTTTATTTCGATACCCGAAAAACAATATCCTCCGGACGGGCTCGCTTCGCATCAGATGGGCCTTCATCGGACATTTTCGAAGAGGTCTTTGTGAGGAAAGTTGAGAAGCTAAAATTTAAGCATAAAATGAAAAATGGAGTGAAGGTTGGGCTAAAATACTACTTCTAACCGATTAGCTAATTAAAAAATAAGGCTCAAAGGTATCAAAAGAAAAAAAGGTGAGAATTTTAGAAGAGAGTTTTCAAATTAGAGAAGAGAAGCTGACTTGTGAATGATTCGAATGGCAATTTGGATCTCTATTTATAGTGGATGGGGAAATTATTGTTGAGCACATTTGTGTGAATTTCTGGATATGGTAAGAAAATTGAAGGGGCCAGGTACGGGAGAATTAAATGTATCTGGAGCCCGCTGGAAATTGTAAAGGAGAGGAATAGACAGAGAAAAGTAGACTTTTCGATTACGGTATCTTTCCTAAACTATCGGCTATTGGTCGACATAATAACTGATCGTTAAGGAGCTTTTGAAACATCTGTATTTGCATTTAACAAAACAACTACCGTATTTATTCTAATAGAAGTACATGTGCTTAGACTTGACTAGCCAGCATTAGATGCATTGACTCTACTAGACAATCTTACAATTGAATGAATTTGCGAATCTTTTGACTCAACTAAAAACATTGCCAATCTATAGTTTTGTGTCCAACAAGCCTTGTTATTTTATTTGAAAACGAAAAGATCATGTGACAATAATATTAAGCAATATGCATCAACTTATAGTAATCATCGTGAAGATATTCAGAAACATTTGACTAACGTCGTATGAACAGTAAATTCATGAGCTTCATCATTCGTAGTTGAGAACGATAGTGTAGTTTTGAACCCATATTTTTGGTAAATTAACCTGATTCTGTTTACTATTGGGGTAGTTTATGGAATTGGCTTCACTTTTTTCAACTTCAACACTTCTAGTATCATATGATTAGCTGCTCAATACTTGGCCAGTGTACTACAGTTCGAATGTTTGACTAACGTCGTATGAACATCTCTGAAATGAAAGTTGATAGGTTGGCTGAATCTCAGACAACCTCCCCGTTGGCCTAGGTCCGTAGCCACCCACTGAGCCGGAAAAAAAGCGTGACTGCTGTTAAAGTTGCGCAGATGCACTTGTTCACGTTTTCAGCAGTGATTAGTAATGAGAAAATTGCTCAAACTATTTGGTTTACATTCTAAAGTATTCAAATTACCATCCACTTCTTACCGAATCGGCAAAGCCAAGCGCAAATTCGCGATGGCGCAAAAACAAGCGATCGGTGTCGTGAGTAAAAGGATTGCCTGAATCAGCAGCATTGAAAACCCTGAAAACTAACAGCATTAGTTGATGTGATAATTATTTGTTGTAGTTCTAGGAAAAGATCATAACTGATATCTGGATGATAGTCGACTAAATAGATCTGCAGGTCATGATCGCTGTAAAAAGACTTAAATGGGATTTTTTGGAGCAAAACTCTGGCATGGTTCTTGAACTTGTCATTTTAAAAACAAATCAAAGTTATCCTAACTAGTAGCAGCTATTAGAATGACATTACTAAATCACTCCAATATATAGAACCTATAGTTGTCAGTCAAACATCTACCGAGGTTTGTACCAGACCCATTCCTTTAGACTTGATTAGGCAGGATTAGATGCATTGACCTCAAGCGAGCATTCTGAAAATAGACCATCAAAAGCTGAACGTTTGTGGATGATAAATGTTGATGATTATTTTCTCGCCAGAAGCAAAAGATCATCCCGTTGCCGGGAATCGAACCCGGGCCTTATGGGTGAGAGCCATAAATCCTAACCACTAGACCACAACGGAGATGGTTTCTGGAGTTGAAGAAGTACTTACAAGACTACTCAAGTAATTGACAGGTTGATAAGGAGAAAGCTGTCAAAAGTGGAATGTGCAGTTCAAAATGCAGTACACTGGCCAAGTATTGAGCAGGTAATCATATGATACTTGAAGTGTTGAAGTTGAAAAAAGTGAAGCCAATTCCATAAACTAGCCTAATAGTAAACAGAACCAGGTTAATTTACCAAATATTAATTTCAAAACTACACTATCATTCTCAAGTACTAATGATGAATGAACCGATGAACTTACTAATTGCTTAGAACGAATGGATTTCTTGCTAAATCTGATAAGATCTGGCCTGTTAATCCAATTATTATCATAAAAACAAAGGAAAAGTTCTGGAAGAGACATCATGCTAGATGGACTAGACATGTTAAAAGTATCTATTGATAGAAATATTCGAGTCTCTAACAAATCATCTGTTCCATTGTGTTTTGAAACATCGTGTAAACTGTTTATTTCGAGTAAAACCTTTACAAAGTTGAGAAAAATGATTCCAAGAAAGGCAATTGTAAATCACAAAAGCACGGCGAAAATTCACAAACCAAACGACGAACTGCTTTGATAAATTTGAACTTTTTGGTTTTTCTGATGCTTGAAAAGATGTATTTTATTGTGAAAAACTACAGTAATAAATTTGTTTACAAATCGCCGGCAATAAAGAGAAATTAATCGGTTTTATAGTGGAAATGAAGCTTGTTTTGAGATTTTCAACATTCACAAATTTACAATGTCCATATGTCGTAGCTGAAAAGGTTTGAAATCTTTTTGGCAACCCGATATGGTTTGAAATTGAAAACCATTAGAAGAAATTACTCTTTCTCAGCTTGATCGTTTAATATTATGATATTTAATTTCCATTTCCATGGAAACATCTTCTTGAATCAACAAAATCAACAAAATCAACAAAAACAAACAAAAAAAAACAAAATCAAATAAAATCTACGAAATTTTTGCCTATCACAATCGGTTAATAAGCTTAAAATATGATGATTTCACGTGTTGTTGCAATTATTGTTGTGGTGACAACGACTATTGCAAATAACGTTTGATTTAAAGCAGTTGCACCTTCCATTCCCATATCCATTTGTGCAGTTGCCCTAAAAGTAAAGAATAGAGAAGTTCTTATTGAAAAATTAGCAGGATGAACTAAAGTATACCTTGCGAGCCTGCCAATGATTGGCAACAATAGCTGAAACGATGTTTTATTCATTCATTCATTGGCTTATCTTCAACTGTCAAAAAGTTGCTGCTAGCGGATTCAAATTGATTCCTTGATAAGCTAGATTTTGCTAATAGCATAGCCAGTATTTAGCCGGTATTTAGGATATTGAAGTAAGCCATTAGAAGTGACAATCCGGTAAAATCCATCTTCGGACTCGATAAGCCATTACAGCGTCTGCCAAAGAATGAAGGCTAACCAATCAACTGTCTACAGCATCAATCAGCAAACTGGCTGTTGCTCCTACTTCAACTAGTTCAAAACTAAAAACATGTAGAATAAACAAGTCGACCAAAAAAGCCTTGAAGGTACGAGCATTTTCTCAGCTTGTTTTCTCAGATGAAATAGTTTCAAACTTCTCTTCGGCTAGCCGATAATCTTCCAAACGATTTCGGCTACGACAAAAATATTGTTGAGCTTCTTGAGATCTGTTTTTGATTCAATCTAACTACGATATTTCTCCGGAATGTGTTCTCAAAGGCATCAAAATTGTCTTTTACCATTAAAGCCATCAAGCAAAGAGCTTCCCATCTCAGAATTGGCTGTAAATCGCATTTTGATCAAAAAAGTCAAGTATCTCATAAGAAAAATTTGGAAAATGAATCTTCGAATCATTCTTAGAGGCCACATCCCAAAAAACTTCTTTTGGGGACAGTGTGTAAGTTGTGCAATCCCGAAGCTCAGGCCTTGAAAGGAACTTTGAAAGTTGCCCACTTTTCCATTCCAAAACTTTGGGTAACTCGGAATGCACTGTTATTTGCAAATTTTCGCAAACGATGGGTAAATTTCTCTTGGAAATTCTCACAAAATCAGAATATCGATCCAGCAACAAGGCAAACCTCTTCACAATCTGAAGTTTAGGCCAAAATTTGAAAAAACTGAAGTTGTCTGGCTCTTCTTTTGATCCGTTTACAGTTTTATTCTCAAAAACCCGAATCTCAAAGTTTTTTGCGTATTTGAGATTTCGAAATAGTCGGTGATGAGTTGCTTCGATGAAAATTTGATGGTTACAAGTCTCGGAAAAGAATGGATAATTAAAAGAGACGAATTTGAGTTTTTCTTGTACTCCGTTGCTTGTTAAATGGAGTAAAATGATGGAAAGATTCGAGCTGAATATCTCACTTTCGTCGGATTCAGAATCAGAATAAATCCTAATTGAAATAGTGTTAACTTTCTTCGAAAAAGGTCCATAAAATAGAATTCGATGACGAAGATTTTTGAGATTTTTACAAATTTCAAAGCATCTTCGAGAAATAAGTGCTCAAAGATTGAGTCTTGCAAAAGTGATGGCAAAGATTTAAATTCAAATCTTTGCTTTACAACTTGTTTCATGGCTAAAGGAATAAGTTACTAGGAATGGGAAAAAAAAATTTTCAAAACTTATACTGACGATCAATCAGTTCCACATAAATGTCTCACTTTTCTCCTTCCAATACGCTTTTTCTTATCTCTTTGACCCAAGCATCACTCAAAGAACGAACAAATAAATTTGCACATTGACCTTTTAACTGAACTCAGGTTTAAGTTTGACTCATTCACTTCACATTCAACTCAAATTGAGATTTGAATTCATTATGAACATGACTGCTGAAGGCCTATATACCATGCATATACAGATTTTCGATGCCTTCTTTTGAGAACACAAAGAACAAAGTTCATTCACAATAAACTCAGTTTTAGATTAGAATTAAAAAACCTAGACAAGTTTCAATCTTTTCTTCAAACCGTCGAATTGTTTCTGATTTCCGAGAGAGCTTAACAGTCCTCTACGCTCGGATCACATGTGTATTCACAGCAAATTCACCATTCACCATAATGGCTTCAGTGCGACACATCCACCACAAGCCACTGGTTGCTCATTTGTGCATTCATCCTTGAAGAATTTAAGATTCTCAATCTTCGGATGATCACTCAGCTTTAAAGAGTGCTCATCTCAATTCAATAACAAAAAAACACAACGATAAGGATCACAAAGATTGAGAATACTTTCATATAGAGAAATCCCTTCATTGTTCAAACAAAACTTTAGTGGATCGCCAAAAAACCAGCGAATGACCTCCCTATTTCCTCAAAATGAACCCTCTTTGTAATAGAGATTGGATCAGAAAATCCCCTTTTCCCGAAGAACATCCACTCATGAATCATTTCCACAAACCCTGGTGGAACTTTTTGATTGAATTTTGTTACTTTGTCATTTGGATAGTAACGAGCGCATAATGTACGTGTTATTGAAATGAATGTAAATCATTTATACAGACATTGGGTACATAAGAAAAAGAACAAAGTAGTGTTGATTGAGGAATTTCACAAGCCAGTTGATTGCTTCTTGGTGCTTACAAGCCACCGAGCAAGTCACCGAGGCCCCTGGAATTGAATAGGTTTTGATGATTCAAGAACAGACTCACAATCCATTAGTGAGTCCACCAACAACTCCGGTAAGACCTCCAAGACCTCCAGTGAGCCCACCAACTCCACCAAGACCCCCAGTCAAACCACCAAGAGCATCAAGACCGGGAAGAACACTGAAATGAGATAAATGATAGATTTCTGGATCAAGACTTACACAAGAAGCTTTCCAAGAAGTGGCTCAATCAATCCCTCGAGGAGTTGACAAACCAAATTCTGGACTGTTTGGAGGAGACCGATTTGTTGGACGAGTGAATCATCAACCAAAGACCAAACGGGTGAAAGAACTCCAGTCAAAATTTGAAGACAGAGACCCGAGTAGAGATTTGATTCACCGGTCAACAATCCAGAGAGAAGATATTCAACATCAACCTCCAATTCCAATCCACATGGACCCATAGGGACGAGGACGACTGAGGGCAGTTCGAGGCCACCCTGGAATGGAGTGGATTGAATGTTAAGCCATTAACAGAATACCTTGAGGATCTGCAAGTGTTGGATGGTGTATTTGTTGAACTGTGTCCCATTCACAGTCTCCACAGTCTTGGTCAAGATGTTCACGTGGCTGACTAAACGAATGGCATGATCTTTCTTCTATTCGTTACTCACTGAAATCCAAGATACAATCCAATACTTGAATATCTGGAATAAGCGGGCATTCACAAGTTCCATTCAAATTCGGAATCGGAATCTTTGGGGTAACAGTTGGAAGAGTGACTGACGGGACGGACACCGGGGGAAGACTTCCAGCTAATAGTGGAGTAGCCAAGAAAGCGATGATGAAAATTGAAGTGGTCATTTTCTCGGAATGTTTTCTGAAATGAGAATGTAATGGTTGCATGTGGTGATTTTCCACTGCCATCTTTTATAGTGCCAAACTTGGTCAAAATATTTTTAAACCATGATTGGTGATCAGCTTACCAAAAGCTGACTATGAGTTCGTTTTGAAAACAGTCTGATTCAAACGATTGGGTGTTTTGACAGAGAAATTTTTATATTGCTCAATCAGCCTTAACAAGGAGGGACATTTTTGTTTCAAAAATGAACCCTGTTGTCAGATTGTTATTGATTATTATGGTAGGATTATTGTATAACTTACTGAAGTCAGCCTCAATTTGATTGATTACATTATCTCATTTTCTATAGGCATAAACCCAGTCAGAGATCAAAATAGGCATAAACCCAGTCAGAGATCGTCCAAAACAGCTCTCATTGTTCCCTCTCCGTTCATTCCGAGCGATCACAATATGGAAATTTTTATATCAAAACAAGACCAGACCAGACAGCTTTTCACTAAAATAATCAAACCAAAAATGAGCTGTTTTGATCGGTGTTCTATATTTGACGTTATGATCAGAAATGATGGTCGAACAAAATATTTTGCTTGAACCAGCCACTATAAAAGCAGGGTTTAATAACTATTCACCACCACATCCAGCAGTTCCATTCTTAATTCTCAACTCATCTAGAGAAAATGACCACTTCAATCTTCATCATCGCTTTCTTGGCTACTCCACTATTAGCTGGAAGTCTTCCCCCGGTGTCCGTCCCGTCAGTCACTCTTCCAACTGTTACCCCAAAGATTCCGATTCCGAATTTGAATGGAACTTGTGAATGCCCGCTTATTCCAGATATTCAAGTATTGGATTGTATCTTGGATTTCAGTGAGTAACGAATAGAAGAAAGATCATGCCATTCGTTTAGTCAGCCACGTGAACATCTTGACCAAGACTGTGGAGACTGTGAATGGGACACAGTTCAACAAATACACCATCCAACACTTGCAGATCCTCAAGGTATTCTGTTAATGGCTTAACATTCAATCCACTCCATTCCAGGGTGGCCTCGAACTGCCCTCAGTCGTCCTCGTCCCTATGGGTCCATGTGGATTGGAATTGGAGGTTGATGTTGAATATCTTCTCTCTGGATTGTTGACCGGTGAATCAAATCTCTACTCGGGTCTCTGTCTTCAAATTTTGACTGGAGTTCTTTCACCCGTTTGGTCTTTGGTTGATGATTCACTCATCCAACAAATCGGTCTCCTCCAAACCGTCCAGAATTTGGTCTGTCAACTCCTCGAGGGATTGATTGAGCCTCTTCTTGGAAAGCTTCTTGTGTAAGTCTTGATCCAGAAACCCATTCATCTCATTTCAGTGTTCTTCCCGGTCTTGATGCTCTTGGTGGATTGACTGGAGGTCTTGGTGGAGTTGGTGGGCTCACTGGAGGTCTTGGAGGTCTTACCGGTGTTGTTGGTGGGCTCACTAATGGATTGTGAGTTTATTCTTGAATCATCAAATCCAATTCAATTCCAGGGGCCTCGGTGACGTACTTGGTGGATTGTAAACGCTAACAGTAAGAGGCAATCAACTTGCTCGTGAAATTTCTTCCGATTCTTTGACTGTTTCATTATGTGCCCAAATGTCTGTATAAATGCTTTGCATTTGCAATATTTCATTTCAATTGCGCAAAAGGGATTGTATTGGTCAACAATCAATAATAGCTATACTTCCTTTTTGCAAATTTATCGTTAAAACTGTGTGTCAGGTGCACGATTTCCAGAGTTGCTAAAAAAACATTAGGACAATACTTGATGATCTAAAGTTCTTCATTAATGATTAAAAATTGTCTAAACTCCATAAGCCTTTGAAGATCTTGGAGCTTTGTTGTAGTCATATGGTGTGTCATCAAGTCAGCTCGTTGTCTTATTGTGATTATAAGAAGAACCGTCACATGTCAATCCGATCACAGCTTGTGCCACATTCCAGCCAATTGAGATAATTTCTGTCGTAATTGCCTCTGAAACAAGTTTGTCCGTTTTATTTTGGTAAAACATTGATGCTTTCAATTGGGGACTTGAACTTTTTAATGACAAGGATTGTCTTTCTGTCATTATCTAGAAATATGATAAATAAGTTGCTATTGACAGTTTGATGATCTACGAAAACCTCAATCACTCTTCCAAATACTTGTCAAATATTTCCATGGTTTGGTATTGTGTCTGGAAACAAGATGAGAGTCCATATTCTCACACAATTGTTCAGCTTCTGAGGTGTTGAACGTTTGATTCAACTCAAATTGAGATTTGAATTCATTATGAACATGCATTGTATATGTCGTAGCCGAGGAAGGATTTCAGCCGAAGAAGTCTCAAAAATAAATCTTGAGTTACACTTGCTATATGCAAAGTTGCAAATATTACTAGTTTTGATCTATTTTTGCATTCATCACCTCTGAATGTTTTTTTTTGCATTTTGAGGCTTTAAATTTCAAATTTTATTGAGTAAACAAACATTAATAAAAGCAAAAATTAGCATAACAAACATTAACATACCAAAAAAAACTGAAATTTACTTATTCTTGCAGGTGTTGCTCTTGTGGCATCGGCTCTTGCATTGCAGGTTGGCTTTCCAGCAGGCGCATCGCCCGTTCACACATCCATTCGTGCAGTTGCAATGCTTGCGACCTGAAAGAAACTTAAGACAGGACTATTTAAAAGTTTACCTTGAGTACCAGTCAGCGATTGTGATCCTACGGCGGCTCGAAAAATTATGGCACTTCTTCGAACGAAAGGAAGTTATTATTGGCGGGCTCAAATTGATTCCTTGTCAATCTAATCTTTGAAAAATTAATTAGAAAGCAAGAATAGCGTTCACCTTTGCTGTAGAATACCGTTGGCGGTGCCGATTTGATAGAATCCCTGGTTTTCTTCCATGACGACACCGAAGAGCGTTGAATGGCCGATTTTCGGACGATCCACTGCATCGATTGGCAAACGAACAGTTTGTCCGACCTCAACAGCACCAAATCTAAACACTAGCTTAAAAATTAATAAACCCAAAACTAAAATAAGTATCGAACCAACCTGTTTTTAGATTTTTCGAGCATCTTTTCGGCCTGTTTCTGTCGTTGAAGAGCCGCTCCATTGCGATGATGCCAAATTTCTTTGTCCCGTTGAACAAAATCTAAAATAATTAAAAGTTAATTAAGAAATAAAAACTTTTAAAATACCTCCTTCTTTTTCTTTCGCAATAGCATCTTCTTCGTCATCTGTCTCCGGTAAAAATGTTGGATTGTCTGTGATTGCGCCCCGAATCGATCCACTCCAATCGATAATTTTCATTTTCAAATCTTCTTGATCAGGAACCTAAGCCCTAATTAAAAAAGAAGAAATAGAAAACGTACAGCTTGTTCGTTGTCGCCGATGCTTCGCGCGGCATTCGATAGTGCAATTGTATCAAGAAACCCAAGTTGCATTTTTCGACGAAACTAAACAACAAAAATAAACAATAATACCAAAAAGTCAACCATTGCTTCGTAAGGTGATCACTCAATGCCCCGGTGATAACGTTGATTCTTCATTGATTGGACAATCGGAAGAATTCGAGCCCATCTCGTTGATTGTTGCTCCCTCAATTGCGTATATAGAAATTTCTAAACCAAAAATGTCAAAAAAATAGTGTTATTAAAAGTTTACCTCAACATCCTGGTTTGCTCTTTCTACAGATCCTTGACTCTGCGAGTGTCGAGGACGACCATGCACTATTCGACAGCTTGGCCACCGGTTCACGAGTTCTTTGACCTAGAGCCAAACAAAATCAATCGTCATAAAGAAATTCGATAGGACACAAAAATAAAATCTTATTCTTTTCTTTTACCAATCTGTTGGCGAACTCCTTTCCGTTGTCGGACTAAAGAATTTTTGGGGCTCCAAACGTTCCGAATATTTCCATTAGATGATCGACAACTTCAAATTGTGTTTTCCTTTGCAATGCTTGCAAAACGACGAACTTTGTGAAATGATCCTGGTAGACCATCAAAAACTTGAATTCTCCATCGGGAACGGACTGAAGATCGCTTAAATCCACCTGGCATCTCTCGTTGAAATCCTTTGTAACAATTGGCTTCACGACTATTCCTTTCTTTCGTGTTTTTTTCCTTCCTTTTTTGAGCTCGCATTCTGGGCACAACTTGACAAAAATTTCGATTACTTCTTTTGAGATCCCATGATAGTCTCGTAGTCCTTGCCACATTATATCTCGTCCGGCGTGCCCAAGTCGTTGGTGAGTGGTCGTTAACAGGCCAAAGAGCTCCTCTTTCTTGACGACTTTCTTCGGTCTGTCCAAATCGCCTTTGATCCCATGATTGTAAAGCACCTCTTGATTCAATTCGTATCGGAGAGAGGATCGCACGACAAGTTTTTGTGTTTTTTTCGATGGTTTGAAGTCTTCATTCCGCAATTGTTGGAGAACGGTGATGATTTCCGCGTATTTCTCGCTTGTAAGAATCAAACTTCGCTTTTGATTTGATTGAAAGTGAGAGAATGGCAGGTCGAATTCTTTCTCCATTCCTAAAAAACAAAATTCTGTGTTCGATTATAAACAGATTAGTGGTAAACAAGTTTTATCGATGATCCAACAAAGGGGTCAAATTGACTTACAAAAACAAACAATTCTATTTCAAATAAATGACGAATCAGATAGAAAATGACGAAAAGGGCCCTTTTATAGCCTTTGGTTACAGTATGATAAAATGCGCACTCTTTAGAATGCGTTTTTAGCTTTTAAGCGCCTTTTAGAGAGCTTGAGTTTGTGGTATTGACTTGAGTCAACTCAAGTTTTCATTTTTGAGACTTATTAGTTTTTATGTTTTCTCCCATGCCAGACTGCACATAAAAATATAAGTTTCAGTTTTAGTGATCTAAAAATAAATATTTAACTATAAACTCAGATGAAATAACAAAATAAACAAATAAGAAGAGAGAATCATAACTTAAACATCAGCATTATGAAAGCAATGATTATCTGTTTCGTTTTCTCCATCGACTTCTGCGGCACCAACGACTTCTTCGTTTTCCTCTTTTTCTGGATCAACTTGCACCACCATCGGGTTGTAAAGGGAAGCTGCCATTTTGAAAAACTTCAAAAATCGATCCTGGCTGCTAGTGTCATAAGCTTTGAAGAACAGTAAATGAAAAGAACCTGAAGAACTGACGGTTTCTTCACTCTTCTTTCTCTAAAAACGTTTCCCCTTCATAATTTTAAACCAAGGTTGGTTTGGATTCTCGATCAGACCGTAAAGTTGAATTTAGCCCTAAACCAAAACGATAACTGTGTTTAATATACTAGAACTACACTCTAAAATGCAAATTCACCATTCATCACAATGGCTTCAGTGCGACACATTCACCCAAAGATTCTCTATCTTCGGATGATCACTCGGCTTTAAAGAGTGCTCATCTCAATTAAAGTAACAAAAAAACATAACGATAAGGATCACAAAGATTGAGAATACTTTCCTATAGAGAAATCCCATAATTGTTCAAACAAAACTTTAGTGGATCGCCAAAAGCCAGCAAATGACCTCCCTATTTCCTCAAAATGAACCCTCTTTGTAATAGAGATTGGATCAGAAAATCCCCTTTTACCGAAGATCATCCACCCATGAATCATTTCCACAAAGCTTTGGTGGAACTTTTTCATTGAATTTTGTTACTTCGTCATTCGGATAGCAACGAGCGCATAATGTAAATGTTATTGAAATGAATGCAAATCATTTATACAGCCATTGGGCACATAAGAAAAAGAACAAAGTAGTGTTGATTGAGGAATTTCACAAGCAAGTTGATTGCTTCTTGGTGTTTACAAGCCACCGAGTAAGTCACCGAGGCCTCTGGAATTGAATAGGTTTTGATGATTCAAGAACAGACTCACAATCCATTGGTGAGTCCACCAACAACTCCGGTAAGACCTCCAAGTCCTCCAGTGAGTCCACTAACTCCACCAAGACCTCCAGTCAAACCACCAAGAGCATCAAGACCGGGAAGGACACTGAAATGGAGAGAATGAAAGATTTCTGGATCAAGACTTACACAAGCAGTTTCCCAAGAAGTGGCTCGATCAATCCCTCGAGGAGTTGGGCGCCAAAAAAACTATTCGGTTTTCTTAATTATGTGCCCAATGTCTGTATAAACGATTCGCATCTAATACAAAACAACAACGCAATCAATTTTCATTTATTACCTTTCAATTTATCTGAGAGATTTTAAAATATTCCGTAAACGAGTCAAACCATCCCGAAGGTACTTTTTCCTCGTTTCAGTTAGCGTAAATTTCCTCAATCGTTGTCCAGTACTGTTTTGCTGATACGTGCTTCCAAGGGTTTGTGACGATTCGGAGAATGTAATTTTGACTGAAAAATTGGTTATAGATTATAGGACTGGATTAATCTAGAGCGGCTCTGACATACCTTTAACTTTTAGCCAGTGAGGCATAAACTTCTTAACCAAGACATCCCGCAACGGTTTCGAGCCGAAGATGAGAATTAAGCAGTTCCCAGTTGAATGCCAACTCACGTATAGTGTTGCTAGTGAAGGCACTGAAATGAAATGTTTTATTCATATCAATAAAAGCGAACTATAAGGGTAAAATGTTCTAGTAAATTTCCAAATCTCTATCTTCCAAAACTTACAGTACTCCTCGCTTACAATACGACTTACAGTACTCCAATTTGTTAGTTTATTCTTGAAAGGTTTAGAAAGAATGCGAAAAATACAAAAGCAATGACTTGGATAAAACTAGATTAGTAGCTTCGCAAGTTGACATGTTTTAGAAAACACAGCAGCAAAATTAGCAAAATTGCAGTAAAATTGAAGTTGCTGAGAGCAGCAAAATTTACTTACATAAATCCGGGAGTATGTTGCTGCCCACAATCTTCGTTGAGAGCAAAACCACGGGCGTGATATAGAAAATAACAAAAACCATATACTAAAAATTGTGTTTATTTGTTTGGACCATCTAATTTCTTGTCCTAATTCACTCATTCACTCACCTGCATCAACAATATCCTCACAAAGCCGATCTGTGTCTGTCGAGCCTGCTTGCTGCGCACTTTGCTCTTCATTTTTTGAATCAGACACAAAATATAGATTACAATGTAGACTTCTTCGATGACGAAAGCGGTGACCAGTAGAATGACCAAAATTCCGCCCCTCGACGTCCAAGAGTTTGGTGTAACCCAATAGTAAGTGTTAGGCGTGGCTTGCATATAAAGGAGAAGCTCGGCTGGGATTGTCCCATTCATTATGGAGTCATTGTTCTGAAAAATGCTTTGTCCAATGATTCAAGACTTTTCAAAAGGTCAATAATTCACAAAGCAAGGTTGTAGAATGGTACTTGATCTTATTTTTTGTTAGCCAGATTCTGATAAAGTTTCTGGTCTTCTCTGATGTGACTGGCCTAGCTTTGCAGCAAGCCTAGTACACAACTGGTTTTTAAATTGCCAGAAGCCAGGTTTGGTTTCTGACTACCTGTTTGTGCCAAACATTTGCCAGGTCAGAATCTGATCAAAAGCCAAGTCTTGATCTGGTTTTCTTGTAGACCAGATGGTTATCGGACATCTGATCCGTGCCCCTCCCCTTTTACCATTGGCAATCCAACTTTGAACTCAAATATCTTGATGTTGGGCTGTTCAATTTAAACAGTTTTTGTAGAAATCGACAGAGAAAGACTTAGCGCATCCAATGATACCAATAATATTTAAATTGAACAGCCCAACACCAAGATATTTGAGCTTAAAGTTAGATTGCCAATGGCAAAGGGACCTTTTATAGGCGCCTTTGCCATTGGCAGTCTAACTTTGAACTCAAATATCTATAATTTGAACATTCTTGGTATTATTTGATGCGCCAAGTCTTTCTCTGTCGATTGATATAAAAACTACTTAAATTGAACAGCCCAACACTAAGATATTTGAGCTCAAAGTTGGATTGCCAATGGCGAAGGGGCGGGGTGCGTATAAAACGCCCCACAATCGATCAGATTCACAAAAATCTCTGATAGTGAGCTCGCCAGAAGCCAGACCTAGACCTGAAACTAGATCGGCCTTATCTATTACAGTACTTATCAACCCACCTTATCGTCGATTCCAAGCAGTTGAAACCCGAACTCGCCGACAATCATCGACAGCTTATACACCCCGCTTCCATAAACACTGATACTCTAAAATAGATATTGTTGAAAGTCGAAAAACCTACACAAAAACCTCATTTTGAATCATATTCAAATCGTACAATGGTACACCCTCCACGAGAATAAAACCATAGATTGATAAGGCCATTATACACAAAGTGGTTAGTATAAATCCCCGGGAAAAAAATTTCCTCTCGAGCTCTATATGTTTGAGAAAATAAATTCGCGAATGCAGAGTGGCTGTCAGAAAATAAACAAGTAATAGCTCACCGCAAATGTAGAGACCCTGAGATGGCAATTTCGTTTTGATAATTCATAGAATTTTAAGCTTACTGTAAGAGTTTTAGCCATTGTGATGTTCAGCTGAACCCATCGAAATGGCGAAGTTGAGGTGAAAGCGAGGTAGGGCATGAGAATGATCGGCTGAGTGATACACAAGACAAAATCACAGAAGGATGAAACGCACTGAAATTTAAAAGTTAATTTAGCACTTTATTTAAAAACTATCGACCTATATACTCTACATTCTAATTAAAGCACTAATGATAATCCAGCTGCGCCCTAATGATAATCCAGCTGCGCCCTAAGTCTTGTAATCCACACTAGGCCAGCAGGTCCGGCTTTTAACGAGCCTAAGTACTGTTGGGGATCAGGATTGTAGTAGAACCAAGCTCAGAACTGGCTCTGGACTTAGCGCCTGTCCAAATGATGGTTTAAGGCATTCCATACTATAAGGAACCATTCGAGACAATTTTCAATGTTTTCAATGCCCAATTGAAGTCTGACCTGGCTTACAGATCAATGGATTAGAGAATTCCTGTATGAAGTCAGTCCCCGGGTACCCCGGGTGCAAGTACGACAAATGATTTTGAGAGCCAGCTACTACAGTTCACTAGCAAGTCAACCCACCACAATAGCCACTTGCAGATAAAGATAGATTTTTGATAACTTCTTGGCATTGAAGAGTAAATACAGTGTGAAAGCGCTGAGTAATAATGACATAACGCCGGAAATATCGTAGACAATATGAAAGATTTGCGCTTGTAAGGGTGTTTGGGAAAAGAGCACCATTTAACGTCTATAACTTCTAGACTCTAAGTTATGAAAAGTTAAAAAGGAGCAAACAGTGATCAATCATAAGCCTTTTCTTGGAATTGTAATTTTCTCAGGTGGCATTTTTTTGGAGCAGGTGTGTTGCAACCTACAAAAAATAAACTTTGATTGTTTGAGGATGATTGGCTTATAGCATTGAAAAAAAAAGTGAAAATGAAAAAATACTAGGAAAAAGTGAAATCGATTGAAATTTTGAATCATTTAAATCAAAATTTGAATGATTTTCGAGGTAAAGATGAGCAAATTGTTGTTTTTGTTCAAAAGTTCAGTTTGTGAATGGAAAGCAGGTGAAATTTTAGCTCCAAAAGGGAAACAAAGATAGTAGCAATACACCCACGGGTTCAACATGTAATGCACCAGAAATTAGCATTCCAAAATATGACATGATCTCAGTTTTATGCTTGGTTCATTTGCTAGATTTGGTCAGAGAACTAAATCTTTGTCGAGTCCGAAATGTGGCTCAATTTTGAAGCTGGTACAAAGGATGTGCGGATAATCCAATCGAACTTTTCAATACTTTCTATTCAACCCCGAAGCCAAGATCACTACCGTAAATACTGTAATTGAAGAGTACCTCTTTCACATACTTATCATCTTGTTTAACTTCTAATCTTACAACAACTTTTATCATTTACTTGAATTATTAAATTCTCTTTTTTAAGATCATAATGTCGACGTTTAGAAATTTACTCAAGAACAAATTCAGCTCTACTAAATTTCGGGAATTCCGTTTCGGGAAAATTGATTTTAATGTCACGGGCTCAACCTACAGACATAGATGATAAAAAATGCGCTCTCTTTTAAGCTATCTGATGGTAAATTTAGCTTGAAAATTCGTTCAGCTGTTTTTAAGAAAAGTATTAAATGGTTTATAAGATCGTAACCTACATTTCTTTCTTTCATTTTTTCTTTCGAGCTAAATAAAACAAATTCATAAATGACAGCATAAACGAAATACTAATGTTATCTTTCTTTGGCCTCAACGGCATTATCATGAAGCTTATCGTGCTCCATCAAAATGCCAATGTCTCGCACTCCAACCTGGCCCGAAAACATACGACTAAAAACTCGTCACTCGTCACAAAAAAAAACAAACCCTGGAGGTATTGAAACCAACTCCCGCGGTGACGAGGTCATCCAAACTTGAAAGTTAAAATGAGTTGGCATTCAACTGGGAACTGCTTAATTCTCCTCTTCGGCTCGAAACCGTTGCGGGATGTCTTGGTTAAGAAGTTTATGCCTCACTGGCTAAAAGTTAAAGGTATGTCAGAGCCGCTCTAGATTAATCCAGTCCTATAATCTATAACCAATTTTTCAGTCAAAATTACATTCTCCGAATCGTCACAAACCCTTGGAAGCACGTATCAGCAAAACAGTACTGGACAACGATTGAGGAAATTTACGCTAACTGAAACGAGGAAAAAGTACCTTCGGGATGGTTTGACTCGTTTACGGAATTTTTAAGAAAACCGAATAGTTTTTTTGGCGCTTACAATCCACCGAGCAAGTCACCTAGACCCCTGGAATTGAGTTGGTTTTAATTATTTGGAAACAGACTCACAATCCATTGGTGAGTCCACCAACTCCACCAAGACCTCCAGTCAAACCACCAAGAGCATCGAGACCGGGAAGGACACTGAAATGAGATAAATGACAGATTTTTGAGATCAAGACTTACACAAGAAGTTTCCCAAGAAGCGGCTCGATCAATCCCTCGAGGAGTTGACATACCAAATCCTGGACTGTTTGGAGGAGCCCGATTTGTTGGATGAGTGAATCATCAACCAAAGATCAAACGGGTGGAAGAACTCCAGTCAAAATTTGAAGACAGAGACCCGAGTAGAGGTTTGATTCACCGGTCAACAATCCGGAGAGAAGATATTCAACATCAACCTCCAATTCCAATCCACATGGACCCATTGGGACGAGAGCGACCGAGGGAAGTTCGAGTCCGACCTGGGATGGAATTTATGGGATATCGAGTCATGAATCGAATACCTTAAGGATCTCCAAGTGTTGGATGATTTACTTGTTGAATTTCGTCCCATGCACGGTCTCCACAGTCTTGGTCAAGATGTTCACGTAGCTGACTAAAAACAACAATATTCCTTAAGGTAGTAATCCCAAGTAACTGGTAATCTAGAATCCTTTACTCATATTGAACCTTACTGAAGTCCAAGATGCAATCCAATACTTGGAGATCTGGAATGAGTGGGCATTTACAAGTTCCATTCACATTCGGAATTGGAATCCTTGGGGTAACAGTAGATAGAGTTGAGATGGCTGAAGGTGAACTGAGACTGGTGGAAAACTGGCTTGAGCCCATAGAGGAGTAGAAGAAGATGAAGAAGAAGGCTGATCCAGTCATTTTCTCTAGATGAGTTGGGAATTGAGAATGGAACTGCTGGATGTGGTGGTGAATAGTTTTTAAACTGCTTCTATAGTGGCTAGTTCAATTTTTTTCATTCTTCACTAAAAAATAGCTTGATTATTCCTATTCAATTCTGACCAATTCTACAATCAGAGTTAATTTTGGGAAGCGGTGATCATCAACCAGGATCATCAAATCCAACAAACCAATTGCCATCTCTTATAGGTTTCGAAATAAGAAATTCTAAAAATCACTCTAATGACATTCTGAAACGCTTATTGGAAGAATTATGTAGAGAAATTTGTGCACTTTCACTGCAATCAGCAACAAGAAGATCTCGATTGGCTGATGTGCAGAAATAACTCGTACAGAGCCGAGGTTATCTGGAAACTTGATGGCATCCTTGATAATTCTTTTCCTTACGATCTATCTTCTTTGGTAGCTGAAAAGTGAGAAACAGAGGGCAATTTGTGGTTTTCAAATGATCAAGAATGACTTTAATAATCCTTGATTTTATAATCCTGTAGTAATCCTTGACTTCAGCTAATGTAAATTAATCAAATCATCGACCAAGTATTACAATCGGAAACCAGGGTTGTTTTAAAATCAAATGTACCGTCGTCGATTGACGGACATATTGGTAAAAGAATCATTGAGCTTTGCTCGTTTCGTTTCATGAGTTTTTGCTGCCCCTGCGGACCGAAATCCTTGGGATGAATCCAAAAATTCACAGCGGCTCCCTTGCACACCCTTTTACAGGCACTTGGAATCCCATTTCGACCGACAGAGAACCCGCCATAATGGTCAAAATGGGCCGCAATTGGGTTCACCAATTCTACAGCCAGAGTTAGTTTTGGGAAGCGGTGACCAGATGGGGCAGACAACGGAGACAACGGATATTGCGGTTTTAGGTACAATGCTTCTACAATAAATTTATTCATATAATAAAAGGCAAAAGTTTGGAGAAAACATCTTAAAAACATAGTTAAAGAACTATAAAATAAGTGAGATCAAGAATTGTTATTGAAGAACTCAGGCTTGAGCCAACGACGATCCTTGTTCAGCGGCTGCTTCCTCTTCTTTCTCGAGTCTCTCTTGATAGTCAAAAATCACCTTCCAGGGGTCCTCATTCCTGAAAACAGAAATTAAGATATTTCTTTGAAATTCTTCTCATAATCATTTATATATGTTATTCATTACTAAAATTAAATGGGTTGACAGCCGTGCGACTCCAGATTAGCCTGTAAAAGTCTCTCAAATCATTATTTTAACGTACTCTATAGCTACCCATTCTTGCATTGATACTATTCTTTTTGAAATTTCAAACGTGATAAGGTTAAGATTAAGATTCAATCAGTTCAAACTTCTATCCAATCACAATTCTTCCCAAAACCCACTTGAATGCCTCTTCCTCTTCGGGAGTGAAGTCGTTCTCCACTCCCCAAATCTCGCGGATCTCTTCCGGAGATTTTTCCTGAAATTTGAATTGAAAAGAGTTAAAAATTTGAGACTTACTCAAAGCTTTTATAGCTATTTCTATGCAAATCTATCTTTGAAACTCACCTTGATCATATCGGCGATTGTTTGAGCGCATTTATCGAGAAGGCACTTGATGTCCATGTAGTTGGCGGCCTGGAAAAGGAATTGGTAAGGGTTTTTCAGATTGAAATGGTAAGATGTTTTGATTTTATTACCGAAAAGGCTTCTAATGTACTATTTGCAAAAGCCAACCAAGTAAACATCGTGAAGCGCCTCGGAAGTCTCGGAAGTCAGCTCGGCCATGAATTCTTTCTCCCATTTCGTCAACTCAGCATCGCGTTTGTTTTCCCACCTGAATTATTAGAATTAAGGCTTTTTGCGAGTAATCAAATTGCAAACTTCACTGCTAAATATTAACTTATTTAGTTATCGAATTAAATCAATTATTTAACCCACCATTTCTCTTCTTGCCAAGCCGGACAGTCGCGGTGTTGTTCACACCAACGAATGATCTGAAATTGAAAGATGATTTGAAGAATTTTATTCAGACTTGCAACTGATGAAAAGTTGATTTTATAAGATTAAAATCATTCAAAACTCACATAATGAAGGCTTTCACTGGAAACATTTGGAAGAGCCATCGGTTCCATTTTCGAGATCGCCTCATCGTCTGTCAAACCGGTGTTCTGAAAGCGAAAAGGTATTTAAACTTAGAGAATCGTCAAATTTAATGGATTTCGATGCTAAATTAGAGAAAAATTCTATTTATTTTCTTTTTTGAAACCTCAGCATAGTGATTGATGGTTCCACAGACTTGCGCCGCTTTCTTCGACAGGGTGAATTCCTTGTCTTCCTTGGAGATAACCTGGAGAAGGACATAAGCTTTTAGACTTCAAATGATCAGTATTATTAAAAAAAAACGGATTTTGTTAATCTTTTAACTGAATATTCTTTGTTCTAGTGGTTTATTTCGATACCCGAAAAACAATATCCTCCGGACGGGCTCGCTTCGCATCAGATGGGCCTTCATCGGACATTTTCGAAGAGGTCTTTATGAGGAAAGTTGAGAAGCTAAAATTTAAGCATAAAATGAAAAATGGAGTGAAGGTTGAGCTAAAATACTACTTCTTAACCGATTAGCTAATTAAAAAATAAAGTTAAAAGCTCAAAGGTATCAAAAGAAAAAAAAGGTAAGAATGTTAGAAGAGAGTTTTCAAAGTAGAGAAGAGAAGATGACTTGTGAATGATTCGAATGGCAATTTGGATCTCTATTTATAGTGGATGGGGAAATTATGGTTGAGCAGATTTGCGTGAATTTCTAGATATGATAGGAAAATTGGGCAAAATGGCGAAATGGGGCCAGATACGGGACAATTAAATGTATCTGGAGCCCGCTGGGAATTGTAAAGGAGAGGAATAGACAGCGAAAAGTGGACTCTTCGATTACGGTATTTTTCTCAAACTAACGGTTATTGGTCGACTGATAACTGATCGTTAAGGAGCTTTTGAAACATTTGCATTTGCATTTAACAAAACAACTAACAACTTTATTCTAATAGAAGCACATGTGCTTCTATTTTTCATCCGCGTCGGAAAATGTGGCTTGTGGGCTGTGCTTCTATTAGAGGCTGTGCTTCTATTAGAGGCTGTGCTTCTATTAGAGGCTGTGCTTCTATTAGAGGCTGTGCTTCTATTAGAGGCTGTGCTTCTATTAGAGGCTGTGCTTCTATTAGAGGCTGTGCTTCTATTAGAGGCTGTGCTTCTATTAGAGGCTGTGCTTCTATTAGAGGCTGTGCTTCTATTAGAGGCTGTGCTTCTATTAGAGGCTGTGCTTCTATTAGAGGCTGTGCTTCTATTAGAGGCTGTGCTTCTATTAGAGGCTGTGCTTCTATTAGAGGCTGTGCTTCTATTAGAGGCTGTGCTTCTATTAGAGGCTGTGCTTCTATTAGAGGCTGTGCTTCTATTAGAATCAATACGTTATTTATTTCAGTGAAATTGTTCAATAATAATTGTACGAACCTGTGGGGTCACTGCTGTTGGCTCCTGAATGAACGGGAATTGAATGACAGCAAAGACGCGTGAATTGAAGCAAAACGGCTTGTTGAGTACTCCGTTATGAATTGCATAGATCACAGCCGGCACCAGCCACAGAATATAACCACCACAACGCTGAAATTTCAAGTTTTTTTTGTTGATTTTCATGTGATTGAGCTAAACCTCAAACAACCAATCGATTTTTCGAAAGCCTGTGATCACGCATAAACGATTGACCGCCAAAAGGACATAGTGATAGCAGGCAAAATTCCAAACCGCTGAAAGACAATTGTTTGAGTGTAGGAGATCGGTAAACAAGTTTGAATTGTCGAGAAAACAAGAAAACCCACAAATTGTGAACATTCCATTGAGATACGACCAAAAGGGATTCGTGCAAAAAACTCCACCAATTACCGCCATATATGCGTTGAACCACGAAGCAGAGATGACATTGAGAACATCAGCGAAAATTAAAACGGACATAATCTGAAACATAAGCATACTGTAGCCTTCTGTAGTCTTCTGTAGCCTTTAAAGAATATGTTATCTATTTCTCCATCATCACACTCACTCTATAGCAAGAATGACTGGTGAGTCGACATTTGATGATCGCATAAAAACTCGGAACATAGAGACCCTAGCAAAGTGAGTTGTTGAAAGATCAAAAGTCGTAAAATTACGAAATAAAATGTGCCCAGGATTGCCAAAAACATGCCCAACGCTGGCCATTGTGTTCCCTCTTTTGCCCATTGCTCGGCCGTTCGATTTGAGCAATTGTACATGTAACTTGGATAGCCGAAAATTGCCCGAATTGGTCCAATGTCTGGTGTTGACATTCTGAATTGGGATTCGGTTTTAAAAAGAAGCTAAAAAGGTTAAGGTTTGGTCAAATTGAATTTTAAAGTTGTCAGTTAGACTTTAAAAGAATTATGACAAGGAAAGAAAACCAGATAAAATAACGAGACGCCTTCCGTTCACGTTTTGAAGTGTGCGTCGCCACTAATAGAGGAATTTTTGAAATTTCAGTTTTATACTTGTTAACATATAAATAAAGATTGTTATAAAACTTTCGGTGACTTTGTTTTTACTTGAAAAGCAAAAAAAATACAAGAAAAAAGCTGTCTAACAAAAAGTCGATATGTCTATATGTTGAACAAGAGTTGATAAAGACAATATCTTACCGTTTGAATTTTGTTTGACTTCCTAGAAGCTAAGGCTTGTGCTAAACCCCATCGAACACTTGAGTCGTTCAAGAAAGCGCTCCTTAAAGCATGGGACGAGCTTTATGTTGCCTAATTGATGACAGTTGACGTCTTCCGCCCACGTTTTGAAGTGTGCGCCGCCGCTAATAGAGAAATTTTTGAAATTTCAGTTCTATACTTGTTAACATAAAGATGGTTATAAAACTTTGTTATCTTTAGGTGACTTTGTTTTCGCCGACTGATTTATCTGGACCCATAATTATGACGCACTCCCTCATCTTCCACCATTCTATCGGTTTTTCAAGTATGACCTCTGAACGAATCATCATTTTGTTTCTATTGTTGCCTCCTTCTTTGTTGTTTTTGTTGTTTATACTGCAAAGTGAGTCACTTTAGTGGACTTACCGATTAATCATTTTAACCTAAACCAATAGGACACAGTTTATTGAGCGACTTGAATAGTCTCAAAGCTATATTAATCAATAAAATCAGAGCTACCGAATTTTGTTCATTTAAAATCAGCCATTTAGCTCATTTAGCTACTTATGTCAATAGTAAAAAGCCAAGCCAACGGTATAAAAAGAGAACTATAAAAGTTTTTGAGGAAGAAAGTTTGAAAAATTTGAGTTAAATTGAAAAATAAACTTTTTCTATAACAAGGTATAACAAGAAAAGTATATTAAGATCGAATACAGTAAAGTAAAGTACAGTAAAGTAAAGTACAGTACAGTAAAGTACAGTACAGTACAGTACAGTACAGTACAGTACAGTACAGTAAGACAAACGGAAGATAGAGTACAATACGATAAGTATCAGTAAGACAGACAGTAAGATATCATATGATAAGTACGACAAGATAAAGTTCATTAAGTAAAATAGAGTAGTACGATGAGCACAGCAAGACAAAGTCAGTTAAGTACAGTAAGCTAAAACAGTAAAGCTTACAGTAAGCTTTTTTGGCAAATATTAAAAGTTTAAACTCATCATATTGAAAGCTTATGATTATAAAAAGCTAAAAAAATCGTATTTGACTGAAATTTTGCAGAATATCGAAGTCAAAAGCTAAGAAATTCCAAATTCCTTGGGTTTTAGAGCTTCAAAAGCAATGTAGCTTTCATTTTCTTTATGTACTTTTGTTGAAACGTGCAATTTCCTATTTATAAAACCATGAAATCGTTAATCGTCAACACTTAAACCATAAAAAAAAGCTTAATTACAAGCAAATCCTGGAAAAACTGGATATCTTTTCTATATGGAAAAGAAAAAGAGAGAATTTTGTAGAAAAATAGAGAATTTTTCCTATTAACGTGAGAAATTTGTAATTACCTTTGTAAAAAATAAGAAAGCTTACTCATCCATTTCCTAGAATCGACCAAATAGTTATGAGAAAGGTTTCCGGAAGTTTTCTGAATGAACTCGGTTTGATCTCTTCGTTGAAATTTCAGTCTACAATATTTTCTCGTCAGGTTAAATTAAAAATACATTTATTCACACGAATAGTACAAACAATATGCAAGCCCTAAAAATCAATATGGAAGAAGAAGCAATAGTCTAACCAATGGAATTGAACCTTTGACTTCACGACTAAGATACAGGACTCTTAGCCAGTCCTGAATTGACCTTCCGACTAAGATACAGAACTCTTAGTTGCTATGTTGGCAAATGGTCAAGATAAGACTCTTAGCCAGTCCTGAATTGACCTCCCGACTAAGATACAGGGCTCTTAGCCAGTCCTGAATTGACCTCTCGGCTAAGATGGACTCTTAGCCAGTCAGCTATGTTGGCAAATGGTAAAAATAGGTTGAAAACAGATTAATTTATAGGAAAAGTGGTTGTAGCAATTGAAAAGCGGAAAAAAATACAAGAAAAAGCTGGCTACCAAAAAGTAGATATGTCTATATGTTGAACAAGAGTTGATAAAGATAATAGCTTACCGTTTGAATTTTGTTTGACTTCTTAGAAGCTAAGGCTTGTGCTAAACCCCATCAAACACTTGAGTCGTTAAAGAAAGCGCTCCTTAAAGCATGGGACGTGCTTTATGTTGCCTAATTGCTGCCAGTTGACGTCTTCCACCCACGTCTTGAAATGTGCGTCGCCGCTAATGCAGAAATTTTTGAAATTTCAGTTCTACACCTGTTAACATAAAGATTATTATAAAACTTTGTTATCTTTAGGTGACTTTGTTTTTACCGACTGATTTTATCTGGACCCATAAGTATGACGCACTCTGTCATCTTCAACCATTCTATTGGCTTTTCAAGTATGATCTCTGGACTAATCATCATTTTAATTCTATTATTGCTTCTATTATTATTAAGGTTTTTTTAAAGGCATTTCTCAGCAAACGCCCATTTCATTGAAACAAGAAATGGACAAAAATGCCGATTGTCCTGCTGGACGAAAGAGAAGTGATTTCAAATGAAAAGCCTTAAAAACGATGTTTAGGTTCGACTTGGATCGATAAATCTTTCGAATTTGAAGAGGGCGGAATGCCAAAATTCGTTGGTTGCATCACAAAATGGTACAATTACTTTGAATGGTATTGGGAAGAAAGCGAACCCTGATTGCATGGATTCCGAGGGCGGAAAACATAAATTCGGTAGGCGAAAGACAGAAAACACTTTGAGATTCAATGGATTTCAGGTGAGAAATGGATTCAACGAAAGCGCTTCCAAGTCACTTGCAAATCCCACGGTGAAACACAAATGATCGGTTGTGTGATTCCAGAAGTGAGTGGCACTGTCTTTTTAGATCTTTTCTTGGAGAACAAATGAAAATTTAGGGCCAAGTCATTCCGTTGAACTCGAAATTGACCGTCGGTTTGATGGAATATCAGTGAGTCCCTTTGCTTTCATAAATAGACAAAACTTTCCAAATGCAATCTTTTTTTTCAGCTGTGAGATCAGTAGTGGATCACTGAAATTCTACGGAAAGCCAGAGACCAAATTTGAGATAAACATTAGAATATGATTGCTCAGAAATGCATTTCATTGTATACTTTACATTGTTTCTTGAATTATTCAAGTCACCAGCACAAAATTTATAAGTACATGTTATAAGCACTCAAATTGTTTGTATAAGCGAATGTTAAACCCCAAAATATTTATTGCGCTCCCGGAAAAAGATTTATTGGCACCAATTGAGTGGAGAAGGCCATAGGGTGGCTATTCTGTGAAACATCCATCATTCCTTGTCAGCGGTCAAGCGGCGCTTCTTCTAAAAAGCTTGATAACATAATAAAGATACAAACAAAAGTGAAACCTCAGACTTTGGTGCGGATTTAGGTGACTTGGCTTTGTCGTCCTTGCGAGAACGGGAACGGGAACCCTTCACAACACGAGCGGCACGGCGAGTTGAGGCCTAAAACAAAAAAGTGAAGCCAATAAAAATACTTCAATTGAAAGTGTCAACGCACCGATCTGGAGCGTCCACGACCGGAACCAGCGCTCTTCAAGGCACGACCTGCTCGTTGACCAGAGGCCTAAGCAAAAAAGTTATGCGAATGAAAACTAAGTAACTCACCGAGCGTCCGCGCTTTGCCACACGCTTCTTGTTGGAACGGGAGCGGCCCGATGCGGAGCGACCACGAGTTGAACGCGAACGAGAGCGAGAACGAGATGCGCGCTTGACATTGGAACGGGTAGCCGTCACCACTGAAGCCGAACGAGAGCTTTGACCACCGGCAGAGGAAGCTATATTAATCAATAAAATCAGAGTTACCGAATTTTGTTCATTTAAAATCAGCCATTTAGCTCATTTAGCTACTTATTTCAATAGTAAAAAGCCAAGCCAACGGTATAAAAAGAGAACTATAAAAGTTTTGGAGGAAGAAAGTTTGGAAAATTTGAGTTAAATTGAAAAATAAACGTTTTCTTTGAAAATTCGTTTGTATACTGATTTAAAATAGATAATTACTTTGATTTTTATAGAAAATACTCTCACAATAAGTTATTTTATTTCTTTTGTATGTGGTTTTGCTTTCGTGGTTTTGATTTCGTGTTTTTCTTTTTAAGATCTTTAGTCTCCTCTCTAAAACTATTACATATAAAAAGTTAACAATAATAACAATAATAGAGCGTTCAAAGCATTCAAAGTCCCCTAGAACCTCTTCTTTATTGGATCAGGACAAGCCAAGTCAGTTTTTAAGGTCAGATAAGTTTTTCAAAACACTGATGTGCTTCTTGATATCCGTGATCGCTCATTGATATTGGTTTTAGGGATTTCTTTTGTCTAGATTTTGAAGGTTTAAATAAAAGGTGATATTTTTACCCAAGCTACAGCAATCCTTGCAATCGGTTGCAGCTTTTTCTTCTTCTTTATCGGGTTTTCACATCGAATGAGTCGAAAAACGAATTCTCGGTAAGTATCATAACAAGTCAGTTGAACAATAGTACCAACTGTTGAATGAGAAGCAAAGAAGAATGAGGCAAAGATGGAATAGCCTGGAAAATTTTATTTCAAATTTCATTTCAAACAAGATTTCATTAACTTTTAAGCACTTACAAATAATTTTCGTGTTTGCAGTTAAGAAACATATGATAAACCAGATATCGGGGACTAAGAACATCACAAAGAGAACAATCAGCTGAAAAATCAAAGAGAACCATCAGCATCAGCTGTTTTTCCTTTTGAGGGTTTACAAGCTCTTCTCATCCCATAAACGCTTGCCTTTTGGCGTACTAGTTTTGGTGTTTAGTTTCATAAATGATACCAAACTTGACGACTGATTAGTACCAAAAGTCGGTTAGTCAAGACAATGATAGCTTTTAAACATAAACAATGATAGCTTTTGACTTGTTTTTGAAAATTGATTAGTTAAATGGAACGGATTGTCTAATACTACCTGAAGATTGAGATTCCGGATCCATTTCTTGTGTAGATGTAAAGTTCGAGAGCTCATAAAGTTTCGTTGTTGTGTCAGAGTGTGATTGGTAAAGATGAGCAAGCCTGTTGTGAGAATGAGAGTCTAGCTGTGAACGAGTTTTTCTCGACACTGGTTTATGCTAAAATGTGCGCTTAGGTATCAAAAAATAGCCCTGAATTTCAGCTATTTTTTGATACCAAAGACGCATTTCTTGAAAGTACGGGTGAAAATGAGAAACTTTAATAACATATAAACCAAACCGAAAAGCACTGCTCCAAAAAGCGAAAAGTAGATTGCTAGAGTGGCCACAAATACAGAACCCACTGATTTTTCAAGTATCCAAACATTCACATTTGTGAGAAAAGAGGTAATTTCCGGAAATCTCTGAAAAAAACGAAAGTTTAACGAATTAAACCTGAATAAACCCTCAATTTAAACCTGAATTTGCTCGTTGAATGCCACTTTTTCATCATTTGCTGCCCAGATTGCATAAACTATAGGCTCAAGTAGGAAAAGTGGATGAGAGTACCAGAAGATTTCAGTAACAAGAGCTTTTCTGAAATAAATTTCATAGAAATTATTGATTTATTATGAATAAAATGTGAAATATTTTACCTTCTTCCAAATTTTGCCCAGTGATGATCAGGCAAAACAGCCTGTCCCTTCTCAAAGATCGCTCCCAGTAAAGCTACCACGAATTCAATAAGCAAAAATGTTTGCAGACTCTAGAATTATGATATTGATGAATGTTAGTATAATATTCTTACAATTTGACAAATTTTCGATACTCCGAGATTCGCAAAGAGGCCAATGTACAGAACGGATGGAGCTGGGAAACAGGGAACGGGTAAAACACATGAACAAAGAAAGAAATCATTCAAGAGGCCGAGGAACTGAAACTTGATTCGATTACTTACCGTAAATACTGTAATAGGACCCCACCCCCATAATGACGGTGCGGAGTGTTGCGTAGTCTAGAGCTTTGAACGAGTTTTTCTCGACACTGGTTTATGCTACAATGCGCACTTAGTTATCAAAAAATAGCTGAAATTCAGGGCTATTTTTTGATACCAAAGACGCATTTCTTGAAAGTACGGGTGCTTTGCAAAAAATGAAATACTAAAAAACTTTTGCGACTACGTGACTGTACGAGGGGGGTGGGGTACTATTACCGTATTTACGGTAGGTTATTTAGATGTATTTGAATACTGTAATAGTGCCCTACTCCAATAATGACGATGCGCAGTGTTGCATACCGTATTTATTCTAATAAACGCCACTCCCCTCGAACAACTTTAGACGCCTCGTTCTCAGCCCGATTTTATGATATTTTTATGTTTAATATACCAAAAGATAGCCCTTAATTTCTTCTATCATTTGGTATATTAAACATAAAAATATCATAAAATCGGGCTGAGAACGAGGCATCTAAAGTTGGTTGAGGGGGGGGGCGGCGTTTATTAGAAAAAATACGGTAGTCTAGCTTTGAACGAGTGTTTCTCGACACTGGTTTATGCTACAATGCGCGCTTAGGTATCAAAAAATAGCCCTGAATTTCAGCTATTTTTTTGATACCAAAGACGCATTTCTTGAAAGTACGGGTGCTTTGCAAAAAATGAAATACTAAAAAACGACTACGACTACGCGACTTGCGACTACGCGACTGTACGAGGGTGGTGGGGTACTATTACAGTATTTACGGTATTAATTTTCCATTGATTTAGATACTTTTCACATTTTACCCACAAGAAACTTTGAAACTTAAGAAATCAAGTGCGAATTAAACTTTCGAATAGCTTTTAAAACCTTTAAAAACCTTTAAAGCCTTTAAAACCTTTTAAAACCTTTTAAAACCTTGAATGCAAATGAACGCTACTTACGATTAGCCAAACTTTAAAACAATTTACCTGCACAATTAGTTGATAGTATTTGAAAGTTCCTAAATGTTTTGGAGTTGCAAAATAGATGACAAACAATCCGAAGCTATTCAATAAGAAGAAAGGTACTGAAATGAGAACGTTGAGCAAGGAGTCAATAAACTTCTAAAAGATGCCGTTGAAAACAACAACCGTGATCAAAATTAATGCTTCACTTCACTGAATGCCTTGTTTAAAGCTTCCCTTGAGGAGGCAAGCTCACCTTTGGCTTGATTTGAAAAGAATCCGGAGTACGGTGGATTTAGACATCTTTTAGAAAACACTCTTTGCAATCTTTACCTGTAATAAAATTCAAGTAACGATGAGTTGTGAGAATGCAATCGATTTCGACCAATTCTTCAGCCATAATTTGTAAATATATGAGATTTGGCCATCAATTTCTGGCATTTTGTTTTCACCTGTGCAATTAGTGGTTCCGCTTTTGGAAACAGGCCATTTCCAATGTTCTTTAAATAACTTTAATTTACAGGTTTAAATTATTGAAACTCTTTATTGATTCTTCATTGGATGTAAGGAAAGAATTGTCGATAAATTCACTAACCAACTAACAATCCTTTCCACACTAGCAATCAACAAATATTTGATGCATATTCAAATATAAAGTTTTCATATTTATAGAATTACAGAACTAAAGTCTAATTTAAAATTTGCATAGTATTATCTGTATTATATGGTATTCTAGTGTTGCTCATTGAGCTTTTTCAAAAAGTTTGAAAGTTTTGAAAGGTTCAAGAAAGCTTGAATAAATCATCTTGAAATTGAGCTTTTTTTTGGGGAGTTTAAAGTCGTTACACAGTTTGAAACTGTGTATCGACTGTCATTGGATTTACGGAAAGAATTGTCGATAAATTTGACACTAGAAAGTGTAGCTGCTCCTAAAAATTTTTTTTTCTTCGTTTTTTTTTGTGTTTTTTTTTTGGGTTTTTTGGGGGGGGTGGTTGGGGTGGGGGGGTGTTTGGGGGGGGGGGGGTTGGGGGGGTGTGTTTGGGGGGGGTTGGGGGGGGGGGGGGGGGAAAACAATAAAATAAAAAGTTACGCAAGTAAACAAAAAGAGATGTGAATGAAAATAGAAATGATCTAAAGGAAAGCAGAAAAAGATCCGAGTGAGAACAAACAGATGAATTATTTTGTTCTTTAACCTACTTTTTTCAAAAAAACAGCTGACTATAAGTGAGAAAACGGGTCTATCCCAAAACAGCGCCGCCAAAACAGCGCCGACCAAAACAGCGCCGGCCAAAACAGCGCCACCCAAACTAGCGCCGTACCCAAAACAGCGCCAATGAAAAACGCCCAAAACAGCGCCGATACAAAACAAAGTTTTTTTTCTCTTTTACAATGTGCAATTCATTTTTTTTATTAGCAGCTTTTAATTTTGATAATTTATTTAAAAATAACATGACCAACAACAATAAACGATAACAATTAAGCGATGCATAAAAAACATCAAAATAGCATCAAATTAATAGTCCAAGAGACTCTGAAACATCATAACACTAGCGATGTTGAACCTAAACAGCTAGAGCTTTGAAGTGATCCGTAGTAGAAATAAAAAGTTAGTGAAAACGTTAAAAAACAGGCCGTAAAAGGAAAAATTTTGTTATTTTTGGTTAAAATCACTTTAATAAACGCTATCGCAGGTTTCTATGCGTAAAGCTTAAAAAATCGGATTCTCCGCCTTTTTTTACCCTAAACAAACAAAAAGTGAACAGAAAAAGTTAAAAGCAGCAAAGAAAAAGCAAAAGCAAAAATCTAAAAAATAATTCTTTTGGCTCGTCGCTGTTTTGCGCGTTTTTGCATTGGCGCTGTTTTGGGTGGCGCTGTTTTGGGTACGGCGCTGTTTTGGCGGCGCTGTTTTGGTCGGCGCTGTTTTGGCGGCGCTATTTTGGGATAGACCCGAGAAAACAAAACGAAAACTTACACTTGAACTTACACTTTTCTGCTTTTCTTTAGATCATTTCTATTTTCATTCACATCTCTTTTATTTACTTGCGTAACTTTTCACTTTATTAGTCGGGGTAATCGGATGTTTCCTCCCTAAAAAATAGGCCCGAGTCCAAGATGATTCATTCGACAGCTCTTGAATGTTTTGTATCTGGACACTTGCAGGGGAATTGGTTTTGCTTGAAAGGCGTTTGCATCTATTCAAATGCTTTTTCACTATTTGAATCAACGACAATAAACAAGTCAAAGCTTGAATTAAATAGTTAAAACAAAAAAAATGGTTTTGCTTGAAGGTAAATTTGAAATCTTGTGCTGATTTGTAAGTCCAGGAAATAATGAAAACTTTATGCAGTCCAGACTGGAAGCTGTGAAAGGTAGCATGTTGTACTTCCAAGAGTTTAACGAGGATTCAAGTCAACCAAGGCAATAAGTAAGTAAATATACAGTTTAGAGCCACCTTGTTTACCCAAAATTTCTCTTTTAAGATAACATAAAAAGCTATCCAAAGCTGAATATTCTTAAAAAGTTTGGCATTATAGCAAATTTGTGTTGAACTTAAAGCTTTGCAAGTAAAGATCAAGTCTTTTAATGGCGAATATATCGCCAGAATCAACCCAAATGCCTGGTCGCTTGAATTTCTCTCAAAAATCAACTGAATTTTCTGAAATTTGTTATTGGCCGTATGTGGCGAATTGCCACTGCTCTGCAGTTAGTCAAAACTCAATACACAAGTTAAAATTCAAAGTTGATGGATAAATGGACAACTGAATATCGTCTAGTCAACTGAACTACCGTAATCAACCACTAGACAATCTTCAGTTGTCCCGTTTGTCGTAGCTTGTGTACTTATGTGTATAAAGATCAAAGTATAAATATATTCCTTACACCGTAAAACGAGGTGACTCTGAACTTTTGAGAAACCCTGTAGATAAAAAGAATGTCAAATTAATTTCAAGTGCAAATAACAGTAGGGTCCAAAATTTTGGACGCAACTCCAGTTGAAAAAGTAAAACGCACCGAGAGCGCGTTGAATGAAGGTATTGTGTGTTCACCAAAGGCTTATTTTGTGTTCTTTTTTGTCTAGTTTCTGGAAATTCATTAGATTTTACTTGAACTTTTATAGCTTTTATTTTCTCGGTCTTTTTCCAAGTGTATCGCTTTTTCAGGGGTTGTGAACTCATGACAGCCACAAAAGGCCTCATTTAACACAGAAAAATGGGGCTTTTTGGTAGCATTGACTTTGCAAAGTGTTTTCACAATGTTGTACTGGTTCGATCGAGAAGTGTGAAGTACCAAGGTAATTCTTGGAATCTCCCCAACATCTTCCATCTAAAAATCTTTCAAATATTTTGTTTGAGTGAGATAAAATCGGGTCAGAAGAGAAGGTGGCCAAGTAGGTTCTCCAGCCAAAAAGTGAGATTCTAAAAGTGTTCTTAATCCAAGATACGAGACCTATTCGTATTCTAGAATCTTTAAATAATTCAAATAGACGAGTTTTTGGAAGTTTTTGAGGCCTTCCTTTGACTGCAATCCTCTTTGCACTTCCGGTTTGTTTCCATTTTCGGTAGATCTTGCAGACTGCCGAAAAAAGTGATTCCAAACATCTTGGCAATGCTTCTTGGGCTTGGCCACTTGATTGAATGCTGCCATGACTCGTTCTTTGATCTCCTCTGATAGATTGAAACGTACTGGCATTCTAAAAAAATATCAGAATTAGAAAAAATAAAACTTTAGGACCCCTGAAAAAGCAATACACTTGGAAAAAGACCGAGAAAATAAAAACTATAAAAGTTCAAGTAAAATCAAATGAATTTCCAGAAACTAGACAAAAAAGGACACAAAATATGCGTTTGGTGAACACACAATACCTTCATCCAACGCGCTTCGAGTCTTCGAGTCTTCTCGGTGCATTTTACTTTTTCAACTGGAGTTTTTGGTTTCCAAACTTTTGGACCCTACTGTATTTCAGATTCTAATTTCTATTGATGAGTGAGTACAACACAATGATAAGACAAATACCCAAGAGAATCAGAATGCCTAAACAAAGGCCAGCCTTGAGGAACCAAACGCTCGACATGAAGCTGCTTTCAACTATAACTGAAATAAGAATAAGTTTTGGATTTGAAATTACCGACAACGGGCGTTCGCACAACTCGATCGATGATCACTGGCTGCATGAAGACAGTCGGCTGAAAGAATTTGTTAATATTTAGAGTAGAAGTAGAATCAAACATTCTTTTGTTCTTCGAGTCTTCTCCTCCTTCCTTCTTCCACTTCAAGGCAGTACTCCATATCAGCTTGCGCTTGCAGGGCAGCAAATGTTACCATTTCAAGCTCTTCGATCCTTTGCTGTAAAGGAATTGAGATAAATTTCAAAACCTTTGGAAGAACATAAAGCCAAGACTTGTAAATGAAGTTCTTTAGTCGAAACTATAGTAAAAAGAATAGATCTTACTCTATCCATTTGCATAAAAAGACGAATGGAACAAAAGCTGTACCTAGAACTAAATCTGTTATTTGCATGCAAAGATTCAAAAAATTAAGTTATTCACTAAATCAGAACTGTTTCACTTAATTTTTGAAGCAAATAACACGTGAATGGGGTTTATTATATCCATTTAAATATTCAAATCAAATTTCTTGACTTGTTTGTTTACTTGGATTTTAATGAGTCAAATTTGAGTGTCATTTGGGATCAGTGAAAGTAAAATTTTTAAAAAAAGCTTTATAAAACTGAATTTTGCGTTCGAAATTGTCTACCTGAGCATTCATTGACTGATTTTGATTCGGTGTCGGCAAATCTGGGGCCAAATATGGCGGATCAACAGCCACTTGATCATATCGTTCATCAAATGGATCATGAAATTGATCCAATGGTGGAGCTGTCATTGTTGAGAATTGAGAGTTGAAGAATCAATAATCAATTAATCAATTAGTTGTCCGGAAAAATTCTCAAAGAGTTATCACACTTTTGGACAAAATCTGGCGCTTTTTGCAAAAGATAAGAAAGAAAAGAGGAGAAGAAGGATCAGAAATGCTTGACCCAATGCTTGATATTACAAGAATTCGACATGACTCATTTTTGAAATAACAACTACCCGAATGGATAAAATTGTAGACAAGACAAGACCTTTAGTAGCAATGAATACTGGCGCTAATTTGTGCACCAAGCTTTCCCATCATCGGTACAAGTTCCATTGGCCCATCCTTGCCTTGGCAACAACCATCAATCCTCTGCAGGATTACAGGCTTGAAATTGGGAAAAGCTACAAAGATGATTCAAAATTTGTGCAAATAAATATGTAAATTTATACCAGCATGTCGCAAAAGTTCTTACAGTGCGTTTCAAATTCTTAAACGCATCCTCTAAAATGGCGAATTTTGCATTTTGAACACCGCTACATCTATTAATCTTTTTCTATTAGAAAGAGCATGTCTTAAAACCTAAAAAACACAAAAAATGGCATACTGTCCACAAAGAAAAATTTTCAAAATGGAAACTTTTGCTAAGTCAACCGTTTCAAATTCTTAACGCATCCGCCCTTGCTTTTTTATTTGAATTTTCCGTTTTGTTGTGCATATTTTTTTATTAAATTTATAATTTTTGTTAATTTCCAGGAAAATGGCACACAAAAAGCTGCTCACGGATTATGAGAAAGGCCAGATTGATGCCCGTTTGAGGATTGGCGACTCAATAAAGAAAATCGCAAAAAATTTGGGCCGATCCGGCTCTGCCGTGCGAAATTATATAAAGTTCGAGTTCGTTTCTGCACCAAAGAAGAAGCCAGGACCAAAACCAAAGCTTCCACCGCGAGCTAGACACCATATTGTGAACAACATCCACGGAAAAACGAACAATGAAGTGAAAACGGAACGGAAAATCGACGCTTCGAAATCGACAATTTGGCGAGCCATCAAGGAAAACCCACATATCGATCGACAATTATTGAACATGCAACCCTCGAGCTTTTGCACAAGAAAGCCCGATTGGCGTTCGCCAAGGCTTATATTTTATACCGTCAGCAAAAAAAAGTCTTGCACCATTGTCTCCCAAAGGCTTAAAACAAAAAAATTTTCGCAAAATAAGCGCTCCAGAGAAAACTTGTTGGCAACTAATTCTACCATTGTGGTCTAGTTTCCGAATATATTATTCATTTTTATTGCAAGTTATTTCTTTTGACGTAAAAAATAAGTTTTATTAGAGACACCCGGTTTAGAGCGCAAAAAAAGTCTTGCACCATCGTTGTATTCTGTTGTAAACTTTTTCTTTTTGTTTCCTGATTTTGTTTTTTGTGCATTAATTTATTTTTTTAGATGCCCCTGCGAGCGATATCTGGACACTCTGACTAAGGAAAACATTGTCAAAGCCCGTCAAGGAGGGATGAAAGTGAAGGCCATTTGTGATCTCTTTATCGTTGATCGCTCTACCGTCTCCAGGCTTTGTAAACGACAAAAACTAGAGGGAAATGTGCAATGACATTCAAAAAGTGGTCGACCACCTAAAACAACAATCAGACAGGACCGTTCATTGATCGGGATGTTCTTAAAGGATCCAAACAGGACGAGTACCGACGGTGCCAAGTTGCTTCAATCTTGCTTTGGGCTTGAAGTAACCGCTCAAACAATTCGAAACCGGCTCAAATCGGTTCGATTGTTTGCTCGACGACCAGCACGAAAGCCTCTAATGGTTTTGAGACATCGGCGATTGAGGTTGGCCTTCGCAAAGACGTACAAACATTTGACGGTCGACGTTTGGAAGAAGGTACTATGGAGTGACGAGACGAAGACCAATATATTCAATCCGGATGGTGGTCAAATGATTCGTCGGCCTGTTGGAACACGCCATAAACTCAAGTATATGCGTCCTACAGTCAAATTCAAATCATGGTTTGGGGTTAGTTAATGTTTTTTTAATGTTTTTTAGATTGTGCCTAATTCTGTCTATATTTAGGTTACATGTCATCGTCCGACGTTGGTCCGCTAGTCTTGATAGACGAAATTATGGATGCTCACAAGTACAAGGACATATTGGAGACACATATGCTACCTCATGCACAAGCGAAAATGGGGCAGGGGTGGTTATTCATGCAAGATGGAGACCCGAAGCACATAAGTCAGCTTATGATGGGACGTCGATTGAAGATTCAAAGGGGTTTTTTTGTGAGGATGTCCGGCTGGCTTCATCAAAATGGAGTGGAATTGCTTCGAACACCACTTTACAACCCCGACATCAACCCGACTGAACATTTGTGGTCGATTGTTAAACGGAAACTCAAAAAAAAAATTTCGAAATAAGGCTGAACTATGGGGCCATGTGGAACAACTATGGAAGACGATCTCTCAATATGTGTTGCACAAATTGGTCTCATCGACGCCCAGAAGACTACAAAAGATCATTTAAGCAAAAGGAGCTGCTACAAAGTATTAAACTTATTGAATTTGTTTGATGGTGCAAGACTTTTTTTGCTTCCTTTTTTGTTGGTCGTTAACTCTTTTGTTATTTTTTTCTATTTTACTGTTACGAAAAATTTTTTTACTTGTTCATTCGGAAACTAGACCACAATGGTAGAATTAGTTGCCAACAACTTTTCTCTTATTTTTGCGAAAAAATTTTTGTTTTAAGCCTTTGGGAGACAATGGTGCAAGACTTATTTTGCTGACTGTACATGGTAGAAGGTATGAAAAGGCATGCAGAACAATTAGAGTGTGCTTTTTTGAACTTGCAAATAGAAAACGATTATGATAAAAGTTAGCTAAATTTACAAATTTCAAAAATATCAATGCAAACTTCGTTTTATATGTTGCTATTGTAGGGAAAAAGCATAAGTATTCGATTATAAGTGAGCTAGAGGTAGAACAAAGATTGAAAAAATTGGTGTAGGAGGAAAACAATGCTTTGTTTTTTTCCGAATCAGAAAAAGCAGGTTAATTTGCTTCATTGATCATTAGACATGGTAACTGGTTCCAAATCTATCGGTTTGGTTCGTTTCGGTTCGGCTTTCAACCGATTCGAGATCTAATCGGTTCGGTTCGCACCAATAGACGGACGCAATCGGTTCGGTTCAGTTCGGTTAAAAACCGATTTTGTGGTCCGGTCGATTTGGTTCACTTCCTAGCCGAATCGAACCGAAAACTTTCTAACCGAACCAATTGAGTTCTTCGATAGGTTTTAGATCAATTAGCTCTTTCTGATCAATTAGCTTGAAATTTGCGCACCATGAGTGATGCTCATTGTACGATTCAAAGACAATTTTCTCGTCTCAATTTTATCATTATTTGTAGTATTTCACACTGCTAGTATACGAACTTGTGTAAACTCATAGAGAAAAAAACTAGTAAAAATTCTCTGTTTCTGGACTAGTAAAAAATTTCTGAAATGAACGTTCTCTGATATTTAGTTGCAGCAAAGAAAATGGAGAAAGTCATCGCATAGTGCGATTATATTCTACGATTTAAGAAACTAGCACATTTTTGCATGTAATGTGATTAATTTCGACAAGTTTCTGATTATAAAGGCTGAAAAAAAAGATAAAGGCTGGAGCTGAGACCGAAACCCTGTGTCGGTTTGAGCCAAACCAAATCGAAGAACTCAATCAGTTCGGTTCGGTTCGGTTCGGTTAGAAGCCGTTTTAAGGATTTGTCGATTCGGTTTGGTAAAAATCTATTCCAAAACCGAATCGAATAGACCCGGTTACCATGTCTCCTGGTCATTGCTTTACAATTTGTTTAACATTTGTTTAACATCTAATTGGAAAGTTTTCTAAAACGATTCAGAGTACTTTAAAAAGTCGTAGTTAAAAATCCAGATTCAGAAAAATCAAAGTCGACGTCTGGAGGAAGAAGCTTGTCATCTGAGTCCATCAAAATTTCATCGTCATTTCCATCAAAATTAATAGGGCTCAAGATATGTCGTTTGGTGTCCTCGTATGGATCATCGTTTTCTTTTTTCTTGTAAATCTATATCCTGTACATAAACCACTGTCACTGGAATTATCAGTACCTTTTTTATTTCAAGACTTTTTTGCAAAGCATCATTTGCTTCAATTCGTGAGGAAGGTTCCAAGTCAAGGCATCTAACATTTTTCTACAAATTTGAAAACTCAAATGCTGACCTTTCAATGATTCTTTTGAAGTCATCAAGACAAGACAAGGTTTCAAGTTCCAGAATGACTTGCTCTTTTAAATCAGTGAGACTGCTAGGGGTCATGTAACCTTGGAATTCGCTAGGCTTTGTGAAAATGCATCTAAAATTTAGACTTTGAAAACCGTTAGAAACTAGAAACTTAGAAAATTACCTTCGTTGAATTGTTTCCCATAAGGTGAGACCAACTGCCCATACGTGACTTTTCTCGGAAAACTTTAAAATTTAAAAATATAGTTTATGATAGTGATACTGGAAGCTACTTTTGGACCAAAAAGCACTTCAGGACTCATGTATCGTTCGGTTCCTTTAGATCTTTGTAAGTCAGCTTTGTCAAAACTCTCAATCATTTCAAATCCACCCAATTTTAGAATAAAACTCTTTCCCATCAAAACACTAAAATAATGTTGAACACAAAACATTTGCGAATGCAGAAACTTTGACGTTTTAATATTCCAATGAATCAATTGATGTTGCTCCAAAAAAGAAATAGCACTAAAAAGGTGAACAGCCCATTCAAAAACGTTGACCATCATATAAACCCATGAAGGTTTCATGATAACTGTAAAAGATTGGATAGAAAAATAAGATATAATAAAATATAATAAAGATATAATAAAATACTTGCATTTTAATAGATCACCATACTCGAAATATTCCATAAAAATTCCAAAATAAATTCTTCCGCCTTCGACATATCTATCGCTCACTTCAAAATATTCGACAAGATTTGAATCTTTTAAGTTTTTTATAGCGTTCAAATTTCGATAAACTTCATCTGTCCATGAAATGTGCTCATAAACAAAAATTTTGACAGCAATCGACCTGAATACACGTCGGTATATCCATGTATTTAAAAGATATGTTTTAATGGTTTTTTTAAATTTAATTTTTAATGGTTTAGCTTTAGATTTTTGATAACTCAGGATTTCTTTGAAGAATTCTATAATAAAATGCAAGAATTGTTTCGAAAGTGATAAACGATTATTTAGAAAGTAAAAGTTATTGTGTAAATATAATAATTATTTTAATTTTTATACTTACACATCATCCATGCCCTTAAGTCGATAAACATCACCAAATGTCCCTCGTCCAATAATCACCATTTTCTCATATGAAAGCTCGAGCATTGTAGGAAAGCTGTCGAAGCCGGCACAAGAAAACTTTGGCACATCTTCTTGAATTGACCACCATAAACCTGGAGTTTCGGGCTCAGGGTACATGAAGTCATCTATACTAAGAAATGAAATACTGGATAACAACTGTTATACGGTACCAGTTATAAACGGAACTCTCCAATTCGTCCCGCTTTCCAAGAGCTTGAGGCAGGCAGTCATTTCCGTGTGCATTAAATCCTCTTGTAGAGCCGTTTTCAGAAAGTCCTCTTTCAGGGCAACATCAAGGACTACAATGTGCTGGTTACTACGAATGGTACAATCATCGCAATCTCTCCAAAGAATGCCAGGAAATGAAGTGCAGAAAAGGTTATTATCGTCAGTAAGTTTTTTTTAAAGATGTTAAAGATGAAATAGAGAAAGAATCTAAAAAAATATCATAAAACAATCAAAAAATTATAAAGTAAAATGCTAAATTAATTGATTCAAGTTCAGATGTATGAGAGATTCTGCATGGTTCAGGGCACTCTGCACTCCTTATTATCTTTGCGCCAACTTTGATGCAAAAACTTATCCTACTACGTCGAAATTATAATTTTTCAGTGTCGCTCAGATGTTATCAATGTTTTTCGTGGGTTGAATTCAAGAAATTAAAGAGTTCTTTAAAAATGATAAGAACTAGAATTAAAATGATTCTGAGAAAAGTTAAAGTGCAGCTCAGCAGTTAAAGTGAAAAGTTAAAGTGCCTGTGAATCTGTCCTACCTTTTTCTGAAACAAGATTATGTGATTGTGGTGGCTTTCCGGGTACTTTTGGGGTACTTTGGAGCCAATTCTGTGTGCCGAACTATCTAAAAAAGCTGTTGATGGTTATAAATGTTTGGGCTACCAGTTTGGTATCCTGAATCAAGTTGCTCGAACGCTTCGGGTTCCATACCGGTAGTGCTTTTGTACTCCCAATAAGTTGTAGAGGAATTGTCTTTGAAGATTTCAACAATCTCTTGGTCATAACCGTCAGGCATAACCAATGAACTATTTTCCGGTCGGCGTCGAGGAGTCACTTGAAAAACGGTTTCGAATATCTAAAAAAATATTATTGATCGTTTAATACTAGTGGTTTCTACTTACTTTCTGAATCTTGCTCACTTGCTTTTGAGCTTCAGCAGGCAAAGGACGCTTCTGTGCGTCTTCATCGACACAGCTAAACAAGGTAAATAATAGTCACTTTACTTAAGTAGATTACTTTATTTATCAGGCTTTAGCTTCCTTTATTTGTGTTTTAAACAAAAATTTATAAAACTAAACCTCATAAAAATCTCCTCAATATCTTTCTCTGCCGCTTGCAGTTTCTCGATTTGATAGTTGGCCGAGAAAGTTGGAGATCTGAAATCTATCTGGAATATAAATATTTGCACTTACATATCTTTCTAACATTTTTGTCTAGGATTTCAAATAATCCTTGCAAGATGAGTCTGATAGGTAAGTAATAGAGAGGTACTTCTTTTAAGTAAACTACAAAACCTTCTTTCGATCATCTCCCACAAAGTAACACCCGCGCTGAACATATCGCTTTTAAACGTGATCTAAAAAAAATTTAATGAAAATTCAGTAGCTACAGAAACCCTCGATTTTTCCTCTTGCTCTCGATAATTTCCAAAAGCGCTAAGTTTCAATACGTAGTTTTTGTCAAGTAGGATGCTAAATCATTTAAATAAATATGCAACACAAAGGCGTAAAACGTTGATGGTTTGATGTCACAATGAACTAGGGATTTTTGTTTCAAATAGTGGATTACAGCAAATAAATCCCCAATCCACCACATCACCGTCGCCATCGAATATTCAAATTCCGGAGAGAAAATAACTGAAAAAGCTGATCATGGGATTTTTAAACACGAGATTTCTCAATAACTTTGTAGTTTTTTGATGTGTTTTTTGCGAAATACAAGACTTAGCACTTATTAGTACAGTGACAAACGCTTGTTATTAGGTTGTAAACCAAGTCTTCCCCAAATTCAAAACAATATTTATTGACAACCAAAAGAGTAGTTTAATCAAATAGTTTCCATTATTTGCTATAATTTTTGCCCATTTTACTGGCAATTGACGGATTTCCCTCTCATAGAAAATTTTTGGTTTCGAGTCAAAATAGTCTTGGAGTCACTTTTTGAGGTCTTCTTCATTTTGGAAGTGCTCTCCATCCAGAACGTGTTGCATCGATCGGAAAACATGGTAATCTGTAGGACTGGGATTAGGAGAATATGGTAGTTGAGATAAGAGTTTCCAGTTAAACTCGTGGATTGTGGAGAGGGACAACTTTGCCGTGTTTGAGCTGGTGTTGTCGTGTTGGAGAGTGACCTTTTTCAAATCCTTAATTAATTCCTTAAATCCTTAATTTTCTCATCGAGTTTTTTTGAACTGGTTGCTGTATAATAAAGCATTGATTGTCTTCTTATTATCGAGAAGTTGCCAATAAATGACACCTAATAGATCCCACCAAACCATGTATTTCTTCTGGTGGGGTTCTGTGAGCACATCCTTTGCTGGTGTAACTTCAGGTTCCATTCATTGTTGTTTTCTCTGAAAGTTTGCAGTCATAATCCACTTCTCATCTCCCATCACTACACGCGGCAAGAAAGATTTCCTCTCGTATCTGGAAAGAAGGGTAACTGAATTGGCAACTGAATCTCTGTCTCTGTCCTTTTATGGGGCCAGTGAGGTTGTGGGGCATCCACCGACCGTAAAAAACCCATAGTAAGGAGGTGCTTTTTAACTGCTACAAAGTATTAAACCTCAACCGCAATTTTACGCAAAGAAATCCGGGAGTTTTCGCGAATTTTTTGAAGAATATCTACATTTTCAAACTCTCTGGGGTCTACCCGATTGGCCTTCATTCTCGAGAGAAATGTCCCCATTTCAGAATTTGTGGAACCAGCGTTTTATTGTACTTTCGGAAGAAGAGCCATCCTAATTTATGCTCTTGATGTTTGCCAGAGAAACAGAGATAGAAAACCTTTTTTAAACTCGTACAACGTTACATGTCAGAAATGCCCGGTTGATAGGTTTGGAGTAGCATTTGAATAAATAATCAATAAAAAAATATAAAAGAGCATTTGGCTTTCTGGATTGTGTTTTTAAAGAAAGAACTGATAAACCCTCAGTATACGTAAACAAAATTTCGAAACTTTGCTGAGGAAGGTCAAGACTTAGTTTACAACCTAATATTAGTACAGTGACAACAACATGCCATTGATGTAGGCCTAATTGGCAAAAAATTAAACAGTTAACCTCTAGCAAGAGATCCTTGTTCACATCTTTCCATCACAATACCATAAAGATTCTCCTCATCAAATTGGCCATCAATAAAGCGAACAATATTTGTATGCTCGAGTTTTTGAAGTATTTCAGCTTCTTTCTTGAAAGCTTCATAATTGCTACCAAAATATTTCACAGCTTGTTTTCTAAAAGGACAACTTAGTTAAAAGAAACTAAACAGTCTAAAGTCTAACTAAACAGCTATAAGTCTAAGTTTACTTCAGGCTTTAGGTCTTTAGTCTACTTTAGGTCTACTTTCTACTTTATTTATGCTAAAGCATTAGTGTTTCTTTTAAATAAATGACGTTTTCAAGTTCTTAAACGTTTGCTTATCATACAACTCACGGCTCGTATTGATTTATAATGAAATGAAGTATTCCCAAAGATCCACCACTTGCTGGAAAGTTTGCGCCTTGAGCACCAGCTTCAGATCGACTCATTGTGATTGATATTTGTGTAGTTGCCGAGTTGTTGTAGAAGACAATAATCCAGGATGCGTGCTGAAATAAAAAAAATAGGAGGTATAAAGCTTTTTTCCTTGAGCCAGTAGTTGATAAGAGGCAAAAAAAGCTCTTATCAACAACTGGCTCAAAGAAAGGTGGCAAGAGCGTTCACAAAAACCCTCTTTGTGACACAATTTATAGTTTTTCTTTGGGAAAATCTTTTTTGTCTTGCTCAACTAGATGTATTTTCTTTCACGTTTAACATTGAGTTTTTCTCGAAATAGAAGTTATGAAATATGTATTTCAAAATCGAATTTAGACATGTATGTCGAAACCGAGCATTTTCTTGGACGTGGTCGATACAATGTGGTGTATAAGATTCCGCACACAGTAAAAGAGTGAGAGAAATACATTTGAGTCCTGACATTTGTTATTTGAAATTAGTTAGTGCTTTAGTTTGAACAAGTTTGAACATTTCCTAGCAGAAAGATTTCAGAGTATTTCTTCCCGATGGATTGATTGGAAAACTTGAATGTTCATTTCAAAAAAGAAATCAAATAGATTACACAAATGCTGCCCGACTTTCTCTAGAAAAAGAAAGCGAACTTCTGAAAGTCATCGATCATGCGAATATTGTTAAATGTTTTGGATGGATGACAATCTCTTTCGATGAGCACAACATCCCAAAGACTGTGATGTTGCTACAAAAATGTCGACGAGAAACTTTAAACGACGGTTTGTGCTTAAAAATTGTTATCATTGGCTCCTTTTTAGTGGTAATGAGCGATAATTATGCTTATCCCAAGCCCACTGTTGTAGTTTGGTGTGCTGCTCAACTGATTCAAGTGCTCATTTACTTGAGAGCAAACAAAATCGTTCACAAGGATATAACTTTGAAAAAGTAAGCATTTTGTAATATTGATGTGATACTTTATAAAACTATAGGCTATAGGCAAATTTTAAAAGATAGTTGGTATGAGTTGAGTTTGTTTTTGAGTGCTAATTTGTGAATAAAACACACTATTCTAGCATTCTGATCTCAGAAGAAACTATGGTTGAAAATCGATTCATTTTGAAGCTGAAACTTTGTGATTTTGAAGATGCTCTAGTTCACAATGAAACACCAGAAGCATTCGCAGACGTTAGAAACGGAATCCATAACTCCCCAGAAATCTGGACCAATGTGATGGTAGGCAAAAAGTTTTGTGAGACATTTTTGCAAATTTCATTGGAAATATTTAGTTATCGGGAAGCTTAGGAGTACTTAAAAAGCCTGTAAGCTAGACAAGTCTCGATTTTCGGTAAATATTCAAAGATAGCTACAATTGATCTAAAGATACCATGCAGTTATGTAGTTGACACTTTTTTAGAACGCGTGTTGTTTGAGGGAAGCACATTCTAATACATAGAAGCACGGATATTATTTAGGTGGGCGATTTTCTTCGCATCGGGAAAGTTCTCTGGTCAGCGTATTACAGGAGGTTAGCTTTCTTTTAATAAGCCATAACACATTAGAATAATGGCTAAAGACCGCCAGTTTTACTAATATCGTATATAACTACAGCTGACAGCTTTGCAAACAAAAATTTAGAGAGTTCCCTAACAGTCGTCCCAGGCAACCATCAGTAGAACCCCGGTTGCAAGAGGGTTTACAACAAGAGGGTTTACAACAAGAGGGTCTACAACAAGAGGGTTTACAACAAGAGGGTTTTGTCCGAAAGATGATTTATTAGTAAACAAGTCTCAGTTGAAAAGGAATTTTTCATTAATTTCAGCACAGATCGAAAATATGAGGACGATTTGGAAACTATGTTGAAAAGTATTTCTGAAATTGGAGACACCTTGGATAAAATAGTTAAGGTTTTTCAGCAAATTCAGTGGCTATTTTAAATAGAATTTTCAGACGTACAGCATCGAGGAAAGATCTGTAACCATCTTGGACAATTTGCTCAATCAAATCCATGATGAACTCAATTGATTTCATTTTTTGAGTTCAAACTTTTTTAGTGTACAACATTTCGTACTTGGTAGAATTGATTTCTTTTTGTTTTTGTTGTTAATGCTGTAAATCGAAGATGAAAAAATTTTATTTCAAGGAAAAGCAAAAGAAACTCTACAGAGTACAGAAAAGAGAGTACAAAGGAATACTTAATGTTTCTCTAACTCCGGTTACAAAAGATGAAAGTGTGACAAAAGCCGTGTAGGGCATTATAACAGGTTGAACGAGGCATAAGGTAAAATCACAATAAAAAGCCATACACTGAAAGATATCTTGGTTAATGTCAAGATCTCTTTCAGTGTATGGCTTCAGTGTATGGCTTTCAATGGTTTATGGTTAACGATTAGATCATATTAGTTTAGAAGTGAAACAAATTCGATTGTCACAAACAAACCTGATAACCAGATAGTGCTTTAATCCAAAGTTTCAATAAATTCTACTGGTTTTTTTTAACTACCCGGAATAGTTAACTCATCACAATTCCATTTTGCAAATATGGGTACAATCTCGAGAATTTTTTGCTTTCCAAATATAACAAATATAGAGTCAACGAGCAGAAAATTAATGAAACGATGCCAGAGATTTCAAAAAATTGAGATTCAATGATTGAGACGATCCTAGCGTCGTTGGAGATTGGTGAAAAAGCATTTCTTTTCAAAACCACTAAACGAGTGTGATTGAAAAAGTGAATTAAGGAGAACGAGGAACTGATTGTAAGAAATTTTTAAATTAATTTTTTTTAAATTCGAGAATCAGATAAGCCAGGTGCTTTTTAGAGACAAAGACATCTAAAAAGTTCGAAATGTTCCGTCACTTGGCCGGCTCTGGGGCCTTCCCGCTCAAAAGTGATTGTTCTATCATGGTTAGCAAAATCAAATTCTTGTGTAACTAAATTAAAATGTAGAAGACAAAAAAATTAAAACAAACTTGATCCGTTACTGTTCTCGTCCAATACATTGTCTTCATTCGGAGGGATTATTTCTTCAGCATTTGCTTCAGTCACCTCAAGGCTGTCTGGATTCTCAAAACCATGACTAAAGAAAACATTTTAAATCCATTATTTATTTAAATAATAGTTTAAAAATCTACCTGCTTTCATTCGTGTCGTCGTAATTCTTTCCAAACACAGCGGCGAATGGCGACCTTTTGATTCCATGATGATAACGTCGATTTTTTATTAATTGAATCATCGGAAGAAATTCTGCCCATTTTGAAGTGTTCCGGTCCCTCTGGTATGTGCGCAAGATGTTCTTAAAATTTAAGATAAAAAACATTTAAGAAAATAGCCACCTCGATGTCGGTGTTAGCTCGTTTCACACTTCCTTGTGATTGAGAATGACGAGGGCTTTCCATGAACAACTTCGCAGTGGCCCCACACATTGACCAGCTCGTCGATCCATTTGTTGACAAATTCTCTGCCTTTTCAAAAATTTTAAAAATCTTGCAAAATAAACCCAAATGCAAAATTTTTGGTAGTCCAAAAATTCCAAAGATCATCGCGAGTTGATCGCATACTTCTTTTGCCATTTTCGTTTTCCACGGCCTCAACGTAAAAATTTTTGCTAAATGATCCTAAAGCACAGCTACAAAATGTTGCATTTAAATAATGCTTGGTATACTAAGATGAACTTAAATTTCCCATCCGGAGTCGATTGAAGGTCAATCAGATCGATTTGACACCTTTCCTTCTGTCTTTGCGTCTGTATTGGTTTCACAACGACTGTTCTCTTTGGATTTTGACATGTCATTTCGCATTCTTCGCAGAGATTGGCGAATAGAGCAATTATTTCTCTAAAATAAGGTAAAACAAAAGTACAACCAATTACTTACTTTGAAATACCATAAAATTCTCTGAGTTCTTTCCACATCACGCACATCCCTGCATGTCCAAGTTTAACGCGCGTTTTGTAAAGGGTCTTGAAAAGTGCTTCTTATTGAATTACTCGTTGCCTTTCTTGTTCGCGACCAGCTTTCCATCGTTCGTCTTCGTGATAAAGCGCAAGTTGGCTTCATGATAGTTCATTTTTGAAGTCTCCAGTGTTGAATCGCTAAAATTTTTAATTTTATCAACCATCAGCTTGTGGATTTCGGTTGTCGGAATTTGGCTCGTCTTTTTTCGCTCAAAGAAGCTATTGAATTTCTCGTAGAAAAGTATGAAAATTTCGAAATGCACAATCAGCTATTTTGCGAGAAAATGAAGAATTCTAAGAATTAATAACTGTTCGATACCTTTATGAATACCTTCTTCAAAAGAAATGGAATTTCTTGGCAATTACTTGAAATTGAAATTTTAAAGAGATTCCTTTATTTTTTCTTTTCCTAAAAATTGTCTGAACCTGGTTTGTGTTTTTCTGAATGATGGTTTTCTGTTCGATCGTCCTTTCACTTCATTGAACCACTTTGATGTCTTGCAATTCATTTGCAGAAGCTGTAACGTCACGAAATTTGAATTCAAAGTCACACATAGAAGCAGGGAAACTGAAAAATGTAAAAACGACCCATGCACTTTAAAACGTGGCTACAGTCTAAACTAAAGCCTGTACTTTAAGTCTAATTTGTTTTGGTACTGTGTTGCGCTTGCTAAAATCGGCAGCTTTTTGAAAACTCTCGTAATCTTGTTCTCTACTTTTATTAATCCATCTACTTTTTCAACATTTTAGTATAATTTTTGAACTACCAAAGAATCAAAGCAAATATATATGAATACAATATTTAGTTTCCATAAAACCAATATCAAGATTACGATAGCTTCTGAAAGGTACAATTTTTAGAGAATGCTCAAGTCCAACTAGTGCATTTTAGAAGAAAGCATAAAATTGGAAACGCTGAAATGGAAAGCACTATTTCTCTTGATTATCAGTTAATATCTTGTCCAACTTTAGAAATAAACAATTTCTGTTAAACAGACGAAAACATTCCATGGACCAAAAAGGCACCCAAAATGAACTGACCCATAAAGCCAAATAGAACAATCACTAAATTTAGTTCTGGCATGGGATGTCAATTTTGATTTTGACAATAGAGTCAAACAGAGCCCATTGTGTACTGTCCGTGTCTCTTCCTCGTACAGCCATAGATGCCAACTTCCTAGTTTAAAAAGCTCATTTGAATGGTGGTTTCAGTTCAGTAAGAGTCAATAAAACACTCGTACATATAAATATGAAAAGTGGGATGGTTGAAATCAGAAATGAGATTTCTAATGGGTTCATCGCTTCCATATGCTTTTATTACTGTATCAGTTTTGTTATTTACACAACTCTGGCCTACAGTGACAGCTACAAGTGGTAAGTCACTAGTTTTTATTGGTTTCTAATGCAATTCATTAATTTGAGCACAGCTTTAGAATCAGTAGAGCTAACAATAAGATTATCGTTCGACAGACTAGCTGCTAGAAGACCAGATTGGACCCAAGTCTGGCCTTGTCTTGGCTTATCCTGGCCTAGCCAGTCCCAAGCCATGTTCCTGAGTCCATATGAAACCTTCCTGCTTCTGACTTTGACTCGAAGGTCTTTAGAGTTCGAATGTTAATCTAAAACATACTTCTACCAATGTAAATTAGTAATTTTAACCTTTTCAGCCTGTTCAACCTGCACACAAACAAGTCCAACGCTTACCATTGATACGACAAGCTCTGGATCAACTCCGTTTGATAGCGGTGAGACTCATTAGATGTATTCTTTGTAATAATCTTGGTTGAATTGCCAAAACAGAGTAATCAAAGGATAATTATCTTGTTCAGATGTTATGGGAACGGATGGAAATGGATGTGTGACAAGAACGCTAACTTGTACATCAACAGTTGTTGGGTATCCTGCGGATATTTCGGTGAATCTTTGAAATCTGTTTCTTAATAAATTTGAATTTAAGCTTATTTCATTTGTGAGTAAAAATAGGACGTACTTTAGTTCAACTTGGATGCAAATGGAGTAATCGAAGGAACTCCATCAGCTGTGGCAAAGCTAACATGCAATGGCACTGAATGGGACTTCACTTACAATGGGGCAACTGCTGCGATTTCGACAATTGGATGCTTTCCAATAACTTGCGCTATGTATCCAGACCTCTGTGTTTCGACAACAACCACTACGACAACGATAACGACTAAGGCAACAACTACAACTAAAACCACTACTTTGACTGCTAAAACAACAACGAAAGCGACAACAACAACAGCTAAGACAACGACCACGACGACAACGAGTACTACCAAAACTACTACCACCACAACGACAACGACAACTACAACGACGACTACAACTACCACGACGACGACTACGACGACCACAACAACAACTACGACAACGACCACCACTACCACAACAACAACGACTACCGATACAACGACTACGACAACAACTACTACCACGACAACGACGACAACTACTACAACAACCACCACAACAACAACTACTACCACTACTGATACTACTACGACGACGACCACGACGACCACAACTACCACCACAACTCACAACTACTACCACTACAACTCCATCCACGACAACAACTACTGTTACTTGTGGTGTTTGTCCTTCTACAGGTGATTGCATACTTTATCTGAAAGCACAAGCACAAGAACAGTTCTTGTGAATCAATTATTCAACGATCAAGTTCCACTTTCAGGATATTGGTCAGCTTGGTACAATCAAGATAGCTGTACCCCGTCATGGACATGGATTCAAGTGGCCACAACCGGACAGCCAAACTACAGTCGAACACAGCAAAACTTCACATGTGGGATGTACGGACGACAAGTGCAAGTCAGAGATTGTGTCTCGGCACAACGTGGATGTCCTTGCATGTGAGTTGTTTTGTTGTAAATTGGTTACCGAAGAAAACACTGAAGCCTTGAAACCATTGAAATAAGGCACTTATTGTCAAGTTTTCTAGTGGTGATAACGTTCGGCAAGTTGCTTGTGGCGATCCAACAGTCTGCTCAATGCCTCAACTTCCTGGGATCAGTTGTGCCACTGGATACAGGTACTGGATTACTGTAGCTAAGAACTGAGAGATCTGAACTCTAAACATTGGATACACGTTTGGGTATTGTAGAACTTGATATAATGTCGCTGAGAAGTGGATAAAGGCTTCCCAACTCTAAACACCACTTTCAGCTTGTCCGGATCGACTTGTATCCAAACAACAACTAGCACAGATGCCCCGGTGATCCCAGATCCTTCTCAAAGCAATCCAAATTGTGGTAAGTTCTATTCACACAGTGAATCCTCCTATACCGAACTCTTTTAGTGATCTCCCCAACCTGTCCCTGTCCATCGGGTGGAGCTTGGAGCGATTGGCAGTTGATTTCCACTTCTCCGTGTCCGATGATCCCCAACTATCAATATAATACTACGAGTGGACAAAATTACGCCACAGCAGCTTGTGGATCGTGCCAAACACAGCTGGAAGAGAGGACTTGTACATCGGCAACTCGCGGATGTCCTTGCACGTTCGTTTTACTGTTAAAAGACTTGAGCAGAGTACGTACGAAGACCGATTAGTAAAACCTTTGCTAACTATTTTTACAAACCCAAGCACGACTAGAGTAAGATGCAATAACTTGTTATTCCAACTCTCAAAGAGTGTCATACTAGATCCTTCAGGATTAGTGCTTTAGTAAATAAGGGACTTACAAATACTGTGAGGAAGCAATAACTTCAACAATTCCCATCAGAACATGAGCTATGAGCTGTAACGGTAGTAGACCTGCTCCTGTTTTCATCAGCTTTCTAGATAAGCTAGCATCTCAGAGGTGGAATGAAGTAGCTACTTCCATTTTCAGTAAATGTAAGCTAAATAACATCTAATTCTATTTCGTTCCGTTTCAGTGGACTACCATATCGCTGGAAGCGTTGCAATCCCCTCCTCTGTATCTCTCCAACATTGATATGTTGTAATGACGTCGATGGAATTGCGAAACAAGTCAACTATACAACGGTAAAAGGAAAACCAAGTTTTTTTTCTAATTTCTAATTTCAGAAGCGATATGAATGTCTTCCAACTCCATCAAATCTTTGGAATGACACAACAACATCAATGGATCCATGGCCAACAAATAACTGTAATCTTTCTAGATTTGACTTTCCATTTCCAATCAACAAGTTTCAGGCCCAACCTCCACTTGAGCATACGAAGGTTATACTACAACCCAGGCTCCTAGGCTATCAGGATTACCCTTTTTATGCAATTCTCGAGTTAGAGTTTAACATCTTTATTCTTGTACAACATATAGTTCATCGAGTTCATGGTGTAGCAATGCCGAGAATGAGGGTTATCCTTCTCTAACTAGGGAACGTCGCCAGGTGCTTGTCAGCTTTTAAACCTTGTCACCTTGTGACCAACTCCATCTTATAGAATCGACTACGCTGATTCCGAATCCATTTTCACTTTTTGCCATTAAGGCCTGTAACGCGAGATATCTGGGTTACAAGTTTTAGGCCTCCTCACTTGAGTTCATTTTCCGCAACGGAGCCAACCAAGTGGATCGTTCTCGAGTTGGAGCTGTACAACGTGAACTCGAACAAGCTGCTTGTACTTGAAGTAACATTTTGCTACAAAACTCTGCCCAAACCGGGCAAACTTTTGTAAATTTCGGCATTATTTCGATTATTTTAAGAATTGCAACTGTGATCAAGCGTATTTTTGCTAAAAATAGTTATTAATTAAAATTCATTAATTGCTCGACCGGAATCTTTCTAAATAAATCAACTTTTTCCAGTTTCCTCTTTCCAAATAAATCAACGTACTCTTTCACTAAACACGATTACTTTTACGTAGATTTTATTTCATTGCAAAAAAAGATAATTATATAAGATTATCAATTATTTAGCAACAGTTCCCATCCACTTTGCACCAATATTTACATCCCGAATCGTTACAATTGTTCTTACAACTCTCAGGGCAACACGGAGAACTACGACGCTGGACGAGGCGCGGCGGCCAGTAACCTGAAAACAGTTTGATTTCTATACTTTCAACTTTTTCATGACACTGACTGACTCGGGGACTTTAAAGTATGCCTCAGCTACGGAACAGATCACCAAAAGAGCCGAATACCATATACCGAATACCGAATCTTTCGGTTTCTATCTGAAGTCTTAGTTAGTTGAACCAAGTGTTACCGTAATACCTGTAAGATTGACGTACAGTCGCGTAGTCTAACACACAATTTGTGATGCTTGGTTCTCCGCGCTTGAAGAGATGAGTTTTTTGGTACTAATAGTTTATTTTAGAAAAATCTGGGCGCAAACAAATGATTACTTTAGCGAGTACGCGACTGTACGTCATTGTGGGGGTGCTGCTATTACAGGTATTACGGTAGTAAGTTGCTGTTAACAAGTGCTAGGTTATTGTAAAATCGACTGGGTAGGATAAGGTGATTTGACTTTTAAACACCTACTACTGAGTCAGCAAAAGTTTACAAGGGTTACTTTTCTGACAATAAACGATTGTCAGTGATTATAGTGGAAAGATATTCAAAATCGTTCCTGATTTTGATGGTGTTAGAATGTTAAAATTTCATTCATTTCATTTACCAGCCATACCTTGTGTTGTTTCGTGAGACGTGGTCGTTGAAGTTCCCTCTGTGGTTTCTACTTGAGCCTCAACAAAGAGAAGACCAATGAAAAAGAAGAGGAAAACGAATTTCATTTTAAGTTAACAATTATTTTGTTGTTGACTTTAAGGTGATCTGAAGATCACCTTAAATACCTAACAGAACAATTGATTACAAATTCAATTCAAATTCGACAGTCATTTTCAATGCATTTACCAAAATCTCTCATGAAATTGCACTTTTCAATAGAAAAATTGAATAACTTTTTTTGTAAAAGTTTGCTTTACTTTTGAAAGATTTTATTGAAACTGAAATTGTTGTTTATTTGGTGACTAATTGCCAGCTCATCGGCAGCGGCATCGGCATTATTTGATCATTCGCTCTTTAAAAATATTTCGATAAAACTTGAAAACAATTTTTTAAGCTTTAGATATTAAAGAATTAGAGCACGTTCAGTGTCTCAGTGTTCCGAAATCGTCTGGCCACAAAAAAACAGCTGTTTTTATTGCCCATGTTTTTCCTAGTCGTTAAAATTGAATAAAATCAATTTTGTGAGAAGAACTCGGTAGAAAAGTGGCGTTAAGCCGACAAAAAAAACTGTATATTGAAGTAATAAACTTTAAATGTCGTTTTTGATAGCCTCACAGTCATCCTTTGTACTATTTTAGCATTTTTGATAAAACCCGGAAGCACAGCGCAGAAAGGCACAGGAAGAACTCCAATTGTTTTGTGTTGGCAATGGAATTGATCTAAAACAGTGGGTTTCAAATTCTTAAACGCACCCTCTAAATTAGCGAATTTTGGTTTTGAACACCGCTACAACTATTAATCTTTTTCTATTAGAAAGAGCATTCGCATTATTTCCCCGCCAATCTAATATTAGAACAGTGCCGCCGCAAAAGATCAGAGAAGCCGCGGGAACTTTTCCCAGAGCGTAGCATACGGGCTCAGACCTCTAAAGCAGTTCATCTCCGATCAGCCGTTCAAAGATTCCCAGGAAGGCGAAAATGCGGTCACCAACTATTTTTCGTCAAAAAGGCGCAGTTCTTTGAAGATGAAATTATTGAGTTGAGCAAAAGATGGCATGATTTCCTAAATAGTAATGGAGAATACCTTTTATTAATCCTTTTTGTTTGTTATTTTTTGAAATAAAGATTCGGATCAAAAAATTCGCATTATTTCCCCACCAATCTAATATTAGAAAAGTTAGTGTATTCCCTAGGCTAGTTCGTTTTCAAAAGCCTTTTCAGAAAACCGTAAGCAGATAAAATTAAATTGATCCGGCAAGCTGGCAACTTGACTACAGTAGTTCACAAAATAGGCATATTTTAGAAGATATTTTAGCCAAAAGCCCAAAGCTTACTACAGTGCGTTTCAAATGTTTAAACGCACCCTCTAAAATAGCGAATTTTGCATTTTGAACACCGCTACAACTATTAGGTTGATGCAAAAGTCTTTTTCATTTCTTTCGTCTGCCGTTTCAAGCCAACAAATGCACCAATTAAACTACGGTTGATTTCATTAGAAAAACCAATTATTTTTCTGCAAAATAACATTAAAACGGGTTTAAAAATATTTTATGCCTGGATTTTCTTGAGAGTATGAAGTTAAAGACTCAAGAACTTATCTTCTGATTTTGGTCTATATTGGTCTATTCCTTGATTATTGTTTAATGCAAGCTGTAGGTAAGATAGAAATCTTTTGAAGAAAATAAGAAATCCTATCATTTATGACTTATTTAGTTCCAATCATGCCCGATTTTCTCATTGAAATCAATTCAGAGAATGCTATATTTATCCTGAATGTAAGCTTTGTCAAAAAGTATATAATTTAAACTATTAGGTTAATGCATAAGTGTTTTTGTTCCTTTTCGTCTGCCGTTTCAAGCCAACAAATGCACCAATTAAACTACGGTTGATTTCATTAGAAAAACCAATTATTTTTCTGCAAAATAACATTAAAACGGGTTTAAAAATATTTTATGCCTGGATTTTCTTGAGAGTATGAAGTCGGGTAGTCAAAAAGGGCTAACTCGATGATGCGTTTTAGACACCTTAGCTAAAGAAAACCTATCTTCGTGTCAATAGAGAAAAGATAGAGAAAAAAAAGTTTGATATTTCGCCAAAATTTCAGAGAAATTCATTCAGCCAATTTTTCCGTAGAGTTTTTTATAGATTTTTACGAAAAAGGCGTTTTTCACTCTCGAATTTGCTTGAAAGTGAACCGAAATTGATTTAAAAAGATGCAAATTGAACAAAAAAACACTTTTTTTATAGAGCAAACTATAGATTAATTGGTGAATTTGTTACTTTTTAACAGAAGTACGAAAAAAATGAAAAAGACTTTTGCATCAACCTAATATTAATCTTTTTCTATTAGAAAGAGCATATCTTAAAACCTAAAAAACACGAAAAATAAGCATACTTATATGCTTATTTTTCGCTAAAAGTAAAAATTTTCAAAATAGAAACTTTTTGGTAAATCAACCGTTTCAAATTCTTAAACGCACTATGAAAATATTTTTATTTATCGACACAAATTAACAATTAACGATTTTTGACTATCAAGAGAAACTCGCGAGGGAAGAGGAAGCAGCCGCTGAACAAGGATCGTCGTTGGTTCAAGCCTGGGCTCTTCAAAAATTATTCTTAATTCTAGTCATTTGTCCTAATATTTCGATAAGCTTTGTTTTTCAAAAATTTTCTCAATTGGTTGAATAAATTTATTGTAGAAGCTTTGTACCTAAAACCGCAATATAACACAGAGAATACCAAGGTTTTGCTAAACATTTTTGTGCTTTTAAAAGTCAAGACTGGTCTGTGTCAAGTGTAACTTTTAGAAGGGTTCTTTTGTCTCTTGAACTCTGGAATTTGTCGGACTCACTCAAGGACACCATAAAATGAATGCATCATTGGCTTTTACAAAAGTTACAAACAATTTAAAAACCACTCAAATAAAGGATATTCCAACCGGTTTCTAGGGTTTGTAAACCGGATCAGGTTTAGGTCTGGTTTCTCAGACTATCGGAGACTTCTCCGGAGAAGAGCTCATTTAAACCTCTCGTGAAGATAAGCGCTCTTTGACATTCTGAGAAATTCTTTTTGGTGCACTTATGAGCTTATTTATTAACAAATTTTGGACAATATGATACATATTTACAAGATATTTGAAGGTCTGAGAGGGTAGTCGGCTTAGGAACAGTTGAGCCCTTAGCCGATTTGGAGATCATTGTAACCTAAAAGTTAGCTTTGAAAAAGGTGATTATAACGATCTATGTACAATTCTTGAATACAAATCTGGGTTTTCCTAAATCTTGAACTATTTTATCAGCCATAACTCACATGTACTGTTGCCTTTGTATGGATCCGGCGTTCCCGTAGCGAGCGACCATTTGTTCAAAGGATTCGGCATACACTCGTATCGTTTCTAAATGGCAATGAGTTCGTAATAGTCTTGTTTTGATGTATTTTGTGCTCAAAGTACAAACATATCCTTTCTGATAGACTAACTTATCAAAAACATCTTTCTTCTGGAAGCAAATTGTCGATTAGAAAGGGGATTGGACTCGACTAAAATAAAATAGAGTAGAGTGTCTTTGCAGCAGCAAACAAGTGGTTTTTGAAAACTTTGAATCAACAGATCAAAACTTGCAAGCAAGTCACAATTTTGCGAATCACAATTACCGCATTAAAGTTCAGCCTTTGCTTGATTTGATCCACATCGTTGCAACATCGGAACAACGGGAAGAGACACATTTGTGGATTACAACGCATCATTCGGCATGGATAGCCGCTGGAATCAGCAATCAAGTTTTTCACAAGGCAATAAGTGATCTTTTATTAGCTTTTCAAAGAGCTGAGCTCAATATAGCCATTAGCAAACAAGCGTGTGAGTCAAACAAACAAACAACACGGTCACCACCCCCTCTTTTTGCGAATTCCAGAATTTGGAAGCAAAATAAACCAAATCGGTCGTTTTAATGGTTCCAAAAACATTTAGCCGGATGATCTGGATGATCTTTTGAGCAGATCTATTACCACTTTTGCAAGTTAATGGAAACAATTTAGCGCAGGCTGAGGGCTGAGGGTGGTTCCCCGAACAACTGTCTCTGACTTTACTTTTACCAGCCTTCAAGGCATTATCATATCACCTCCTCTAAATTTCTCTACACACATAGAAAAAAATATGTAAGAAGGCGTCCTTTTGTGCGGGCAAAATTCTTAGATCTAATTTGCATACCAGATATTAATATATATATAGGAAATGCTTTATTATCTACGTTCGCCCGATCCTCGAGTATGCTTCTTTAATTTGGTCACCTATTTCTAAATCTCTAAGTGACACAATTGAAAAGGTTCAGAAAAACTTTACTCGAATAGCACTATTCAAAATTGATTTTGCTAACTACTTATCCGTCAGTTATAAAAAATAGATTGAAACTTTCTCACTTGAAACCTTAGAACAGCGCCGTCTTTTCATAGATTTGGTTGAGTGCTTTAAAATTGTAAAAGGAGAACATCAAAATCCTCTTTTCAAAACTTTTTTTTCGGCTAAACTCGAGGCTTTTGGCGACTAGGCGTGGCTCTTTTATCTTGCATCCCGAATCTGCTTTCTCTAAATCCTCTAGAGCTTTTTTTGTAAATGATTAAAGATTAAAGAGTGTGATTAAAGTTTAGAATGTCCTTCCCGACAAACTCCGTTTGATCTCCACCGTGTCTGATTTTAAAAGGGCTACTTTGTTGCATTTTAAGTGACTTTTTGATCTTTTATCTGGTACATTTTTCATGTCGTTTTCGCACTTTATTTCTTTATAAATATAGCATTTATATATAAAAATATATAGATATAATCGAAATAAAGCAGTTTCTAAATCAAAAAAAGAGAAAGTTGTCCGTTTTCATCGTGAGAATCTCACTTTTTGATAGATCTTTCTGATAGAAAGTCCATTGAAAAGGATGACTTATTCATCTTTTTTTCCCGGTCTCTTTTGAAATTTTCTACTGAGAAATAGAAATCCTATTGTGCTTTATCATTAACTAAACTCTAGTGATTTTAGAAATCATTTGAATTTAAACAAAATCGATTTTGATTTTAGAATTTCTTAAAAAAATAAAACAAAAAACTCTTAAAAATTACAAATCGATTGTTGTTTAACGAGGATTGATCTTCATCCATTTTTGCAATCAAAATCTTAGTTTGAAGTATTAATTACAATTTTTCTTGTTCAAAACGTTTAAAAAAAGACTCCAGCATTGTAGAGGGGTCGAACCAAGGACCCCTTCTTTGGCGCCAGACTGACACACAGCTCCTTAGATCACTCGGCCACGCTCAAACAGGGAAATTGAGAAACCACCTTTTAACAAAAAATAGCCCATCTAACTCACAAAACCAATTAGATTTTCGGAAAATACATAAAATTTTGGATATATAGTCAAATTTTCAGACCGATTGGCTCAGCCGTTTTTTCTAAAACAGCCAAACAGACAACAGACAGACACACAGGCTCTCTTGCTTATAACAACTACCTATTATAATAAATACTACTTAATGACTACTACAATGAAAAAAAATGAACTGAATGGGGGACAGTTGTCCAAAGAATAGATATGCGGGCAAAAGATTAGAACCCAGGCTGTGCAATTTGCATTTAAAGTTATTAAGGTAGCTAAAGTGATACAGCTAATCACTGTATCTCTGCATCGAGTTTAAATCTATCAAAGAAAACTCACGTGCATGGACAGCCTCTAATCGCGGACACGCAAAATCGTTGCTGCAATTGTTGTTGACAGGCTCCACAAGCTTGTATCGGATCGTAGGCGGTTGTATTTCTATTATACATATAGGTAGGAATTGATGGACATGGTGCCGAGTCGAACCATTCCCAGTCACTCCACGAGCCACCCTTTGGACATTTGCAAGTTGGCTTTAGTGCTAAAGTTGGGAATAAGTTTGACTTTTGATCACAAGTAGACTAACCACAACGCTTGTTGATTTTCGGAGTCACAGTCGAGTCAGGCGGTGGAATGGTTGTTGCCACACAATCGGAACCATTTTGGCTAAAGTTTTGTAATAATTTCAATGATTTTGGTGGGAATTCTACAACTTACAGATATCCAGGAGCACAATCGATTCCTGGCAATGTTCCAATGCTGCAAACTTTTGATTGACCACAAGAAATCTGACGGACCGTGTCTCCACTAAAAGTTTGAGTTCGGTTTTAGCTTAGCTTGTTTAGCAAATTAGCAAAAGCCTAGTTTGTTTAGCAAATTTGTCATTAGTCGTAGATTTAACAAGAATTGATGGAATTTTCTTTCAAGCCTTCAACTCACACGCACGGACATCCAAGTTGAGCCGAGAGACACGTTCTGTACTGCACCTGTCTTCCGTACATTCCGCAATCAATGAAAACTTTTGTCCTCGTGTGTTTCCATTTTCCTTTTGTTATCACAGATTTCTCTGTCCACGTATAAGCAGTGATACACTTCGTTGGCCCATTTTTCCATGGTGACCAGAGTCCTAAGAAGTGATGGAAATGGAAAAAAGTTTAGAGCTGAAAATGGCTTAGATCACTTCTTACCTGGACCACTGTGAAACTGTTCTAATACCTTAATAAGCGCTGCACTACACTTAACTCGTTCTCGTCAATCACAAGGTGCTATACTCGTCAATCACAAGGTGCTATACTTGTGCTTATCAAATCTAGGTTCTCATTTGTGCGCAAGGAGGCGCATTTAGGAGGTAAACTCCTTGAAACTGACTGATTGGATTAGTAGCGCTTGTCTCTCAAATCTTGTGCGTAAAATAGAAACACTTTTTGATAGTTTTCTATTATAGCTTTCTTCTAGTATAGTTTTCAGTCCTACAATTTCAATAATGTAGTTAAACACTAACATTGAATCTCTTTACCTGTAACTCATAGTTTAATTGGTCACTGATGGTTAAAATGGTTAAAATGAGATTAAACTGCGGTTAAAATGCGGTTTAAGCTGATTCAGCTAACTATAAAACATTGCTTTTGACGAATAGCAAGCCAGAGAACCAAAATATTATAACCAGAGATCAAAATGTAAGCTACAAAAAGTGATAATCGTAACTTACCACCAGTCGTGCAATTCCGGCAAGAAATCGGCGTCGTTGTCTTAACTTTGACCATTGTGAAAGCAACCCCAAAAACGGTTCCCAATAGCAACAATAACATTTTATCTTTTCCTCAATTCTGAGACTCCGCAGAGACTCTTTTATAGCGAATCCAGAATTCCATTGAATTTGTTTACACAACTGCTTTGATAGCAAACAAAGTTTTTCTATGTTTTCGATATTATTAGTCAAGATTGACCTTTAGTCAAGTTACGATACGACCTGGTTGAACCATTTTTATCCATATAAACAGAAAAGTTTAAGAAAAAAAGCTTGTTCTCTTGGTTATGTACGTGGTTTTACAGCCACGACTCTCGATGTAATTGGAATGAACGAGAAAAGACAGTGCTGGAAAAGACAGTGCTGGAAATGACAGTCGCTAGCTGTTTCGTTGTTTATGCTTTAGACTTTGCACGAGGCTTTATTTGATAAAGTTATAGGAATTGAAAGGTTGAGAATTCGATTAACTAGGATTTGCCAAAGTTGAGGAAGAATTTTGATAACCCTTGTAATGAAAGTAACCTCTTTAAACCCTTTTCTAACCTCTTTAAAACCTTTTCTAAAAGAAAAATTTGGCTCTTGCATGCTTTAGGTGACTTTTGAAAGTTTAAATGACTTTTGAAATGAAACGAAAAATTGAAATGACCACGATTAGAGGCTCTCCATGCATGTGAGCTTTCTTTTGTAGTAGATTTAAACTCGATGCCATGGTACATGTGCCTTAAGCCGTAGCTGCTTTAATTGCGTATTACTCAGCCTTTGCCCAGCCTGGGTTCTAATCTGTTGCCCGGGTATCTATTCTTTGGACAACTGTCCCCCTTCAGTTCATTTTTGTTATAAAAGTCAACCAAGTTGTCCGGAGGGGATTTCCGAGGAACGGATTTCTATGTTTCTCAACCTGCACTAAATTGTTTCCATTAACTTGCGTGGTAATAGATCTGTTCAAAAGACCATCCGGATATTTTCATCTAAATGTTTTTGGAACCATTAAAACAACCGATTTGGTTTATTTTGCTGCCAAATTCTGGAATTCGAAAAAAGAGGCGGTGGTCACCCATCGACTCATCGAAATCGAGCCAAGAAGACTCATCGTGTTTGCTAATTACTATATTGAGCTTGGCTCTTTGAAAAGCTAATGAAAAGATCATTTATTGCCTTGTGAAAAACTTGTTTGCTGATTCCAGCGGCTATCCATACCGGATGATGCGTTGTAATCCACAAATGTGTCTCTTCCCGTTGTTCCGATGTTGCAACGATGTGGATCAAATCAAGCAAAGGCTGAACTTTAATGCGGTAATTGTGATCCGCAAAATTGTGACTTGGTTACAAGTTTTGTTCTGTTGATTCAGTTTCAAAAATCACTTGTTTGCTGCTGCAAATACACTCTAGTCTATTTTATTTTAGTCGAGTCGAATCCCCCTTTCTAATCGACGATTTGGTTCCAGAAGAAAGACGTTTTTGATAAGTTAGTCTATCAGAAAGGATATGTTTGTACTTTGAGCACAAAATACATCAAAACAAGACTATTACGAACTCATTGCCATTTAGAAGCGATACGAGTGTATGCCGAATCCTTTGAATAAATGGTCGCTCGCTACGAGAACGCCAGATCCATACAAAGGCAACAGTACATGTGAGTTATGGCTGATAAACTAGTTCAAGATTTAGGAAATCCCAGATTTGTATTCAAGAATTGTACATGGATAGTTATAATCACCTTTTTTAAAGCTAACTTTTTGGTTACAATGATCTCCAAATCGGCTAAGCGCTCAACTGTTCCTAAGCTGACTACCCTCTCAGACCGTCAAACATCTTGTAAATATCTATCATTTTGTTCAAAATTTGTTAAAAAATGCGCTCAAAATAGCACAAGAAAGAATTTCACAGAATGTCAAAGAGAGCTTATCTTTATGAGAGAAAATGAAATGAGCTCTACTATGGACTTTGTGAAAAAATGACTGTTTCTTTCCTCGACAAGATTGGAGTTCAAAATGAAATTCTCATTTATTCTACTTGTTTATATATCATTTATTCCTACAGTTTACTCTCAATGCCAATCGGGTTTCACTTATCAACCAGATTTGAATCAATGCTTGATGTGGATGAATGATAAACGTGTGTCAATGAAACTGTTTGTTACCAGGATCTTTTTGAGTTCGCTAGCTATGACCGCTATGACCAAACCATGACTTGTTACTGGCTCGCAAGTATGTCTTATGACTATTTGAAATCGATCTTTTAGTGCTTTCATTTACCGAGAGTCGAACTCGTTGTAATTCGTTCGGAGGCGAGCTCATATCAATTCACAATGCATTTCAGAATGGATTATTGGCTCAAATGCAAAATGGTTTTTGAAAGTGTTGATTAATACTTTAAAATTTCAACAGATCGAGGTTGGCTAGGTGCTGTGAGGGACAGAACGGATCACCCATGGTTCTGGATGGATCAGACTCCGTTCGACTATCAACGCTTTCAATCACAAGGTGCTAAACTTGTTACTTATTAAAAGACTGATTCTTAGTGGTCTGAACTAGTTCTGTAACAAAAACATTTGTCGGTTTTCTTTGCCGTTTGTAATTCAAGGTTTTTCGTGTTTTTCTCGGCACCAATCCTTTGATTTTCACTATTTTAACTATCATTCGATGCAGAATAAAATTGCCCGTCGAATGATACCAAAATCAACTCAAAATGTAATACCCGTGCAAAGTTATGAGACAAAAGGTTAAGTCCCGCCTATAATGAGCGGGGTTTGGATTTTTAAGGCAATTTAAGGTTTTTCTCACCACCAACCCGTCGATTTTGACTATCATTCGATGCAGAATAAAATTGCGCGTCGAATGATACCAAAATTAACTCAAAATGTAATATCCACATAGAGTCGTTGGCTAAAAATCCAAACCCCGCCCATTATAGGCGGGATTTAAGCTTTTGTCTCATAACTTTGCATGGATATTATATTTTGAGTTAATTTTGGTATCATTGAATGCATAATTTCAGTCTGCATCGAATGATAGTCAAAATAGTTAAAATAGAAGGGTTGGTGCTGAGAGAAACACGAAAAACCTTGAATTGCCAACGGCAAAAAGAATAAACAGATATTTTCGTTACAAGTCCATTCTGAACATTGCTTCAAAGTGTGATCTTTCAGCTGCTGGTGGTTATTGCGCATATTTGGATTCATCAGACCAACTCTGGAAAATCGTCGACTGTAACAGTGAAGCAATGTATGCGTTGTGTGCGGCTCAGCCGGTGGATCAGACAACGCAAGCACCGACGGTTTGTCAAGCGGGTGGGTTTAATCCTGGGAATAAGAAAATGGATCTATTTGAGTCGACAATCAACCACTCTACAACTGTTTGAAAGGGTGGCAGTATTCGCCACAAACTGGTTATCAATATCTGGTTTGTTTTTTCATCAATATCAAGAATTTGATCCAATTCAAAGCTTCAGGTATTCTTCGATCAGAATTTCACTACTGGAGAGGCTTATTGTCAAAGTCAAGGCGGTCATCTTGCTTCAATTCATTCTGACACTGAAAATGATTTTGTGACAAGTTCGCTTGCTCTTAGATGAACTTATTTCAAGCGAAAATTCCTAGGTCTCTGTTGCAAATCGGGTTGTACAAAGTACAGTGCTCAGCCTCCTTTCTACCTTGGCGCTTTTCTGGTTGGAGGACGGAAGGTAAGCATTTCAGTGAGTGAAATTACAATAAAAAGAAAAGCTAGGAAAACATTGAAGCTGGGTAACTGATCCATTTTGATTTCATGATTCTGATAGCTTTCTCAAAGCTACGAATCTGTTTCTGATTAATTACGAATTTGATTCTGATTCTGAACTAATGATCTTGTACTTGTTTACAAAAATCTTGATAATCTTGAAAACCTAAATGAGATTAAAGATACAGAAAACTTCAGCAATGACTTCAAGGTTTAAGACAAACGGACAAATGGTATGGACTGATGGGACTCCATTTGATTATCAACACCCACCATGTTATGAAATTAATGACGATGAAGCAGCAGTTATTGTAAATTCTTATTTGATTTAAAATCAAAAATCTCAAAGTTTTGAGGGAGGAGGAGGAGGGAAGGGGTTTAGCCTCCTGGTTATGCCTGAGAAGCACCTGTAGCTCAGTGGATAGAGTATCTGTCTGGCTTTTGGTCCGGCCGAGTGGGTCGAGGGTTCAATTCCTTTTCTTTGCCAAATCGTTTTGAAGAATGATGAGCAGAGGGTATAGGGGAAAAAGAAGCCGAGGGAAAGGGAAAGAAGACTTAGATCTCTCCCAAACATAGAATTCTGACAACGCACAAATGGTATGGTTTAGCCTCCTGGTTATGCCTATCAGAGGAGCACCTGTAGGTCAGTGGATGGAGTATCTGTCTGGCTGTGAGTCGAGTCGAGTCAGTGGAGGGTTCAATTCCCCTTGGATCCTTTTCTTTGCCAAATCGTTTTGAAGAATGATGAGCAGAGGGTATAGGGGAAAGAGAAGCTGAGGGAAAGGGAAAGAAGACTTAAATCTCTTCCAAACATAGAATTCTGATTCACAGCTGAAATGTTGCATCTGATTCTGCTTAACGGAACCAATGATCTTGTACTTGTTTACAAAAATCTTCTGAAAGATCAAGAAACGGATAAATTGAGCTTTTTTTGAGGCAAAACAATAATCTAGATTGTGGATCACTACGATTGTGGCTATGGATGTTATCCTGGTGCTTGGCTGATCGCTAAACCCTTCACTGTCGACGTTTTCCCATATTTGGTTTGCAAAAAAAGATAGTTTTTGAATAAATAGTTTTTTGAATAACAAATAAACTTAATTTATTTACATTTTTGCACAAGTTTCACAGATAAAAATCACTCAGTGAAATCATAATAGAAAATGTCATCTTTGCATAGGTCAAACGTTCGACAAACCGTTCGATCCTCTTTGCGTTGTTGGTCGATTTCCTGAAAGTTTTTCTATCAAATTTGTTTTTCTATCAGTTTTTCGATCAAATTTCGATCAAATTCGATCAAATTTGATGATTTTTGTTAAGTTTTATAATCTTTAAAGCTTACATCTAACGAGGCAATGATGTTCATCATTTGCATGAGTCTTGCAGCATAGTTTGATCTTCTCATCTAGAAAATTTTGATTGTTAAACCTGATTGATGAATTTTACAAGGCTTAAAGCTAAACTGATGAAGTTTACAGGGCTAAACTCTCAACTGATGAAGCTTACAAGGCTAAACGATGAAGTTTACAAGGCTAAACTCTCAACTGATGAAGCTTACAAGGCTAAACGCTAAACTGATGAAGTTTACAAGGCTAAACGCTAAACTGATGAAGTTTACAAGGCTAAACTCTCAACTGATGAAGCTTACAAGGCAAACCGATGAAGTTTACAAGGCTAAACGCTAAACTGATGAAGTTTACAAAGCTAAACGCTAAACTGATGAAGTTTACAAGGCTAAACTCTCAACTCAGATCGCATTCTCTCAATTTAGCTATTGTTTGAGTAAGACGATCGGTTAGATATAGAATTTGTGTCAAAAATTCAGCCAAATTTAAGGCAAGAATCGCTTCAAGAGATTTAGGCATAGTAACGCCCAAAAAGAAGAAATCGGTTCAGACGCTGACAACTTTTAAAAGAGAAGCCTTCTATATCGGAACTGTTTGCCAGATGGTGAGCGATTTTGCGGCTGCACAAAGAAAATCTCTTTCTTCAGCTCTTTCTATTTCTCTTTTGCATCGAACATGATACAAAAAGAAGATATTGAGCTGTAAGTTTCAGGTTTTCAGGGTCGGGGAATCAATTGGAGCTATTCATTTTATTAAATCTGCCATCTGGATCACTCTGTCTTTGTTCCTATCCCTGGTTTCCCCATCGAAAAGTCAAAAAAGGTTTCCTAAAGTGGATTCGATTCAAAATTTTTGGCCTGGATCGACTGACCAAAAGTTTTGCGTTTTTGATTTGAGCTGAACAGATTAGATTTGATAAAAAGCCAGATCGAGAACCAGATCCAGAACCAGATCTAATATCTAAGCAAATCTAATCTCTAATCTCTTTATTTTGCAAAAACACAGACTGTTCTTTTGTTAAAACATTTTTCAAAATCCACTACCTGAATCGTGTAATAGTCATGAACTTCTTGAGCCAGCCTCTTCTTCACATCATCCGCTGCAACGAGAGTGGTCTCCGTGATCCCGGGATCTCCTGGAAAACTTTATAGCTATGATTCTTTTATAGCTATGTTTATTTTATAGCTCTGTAGCTTTTTAGACAAACTTTTCAGATTCCACATTGTTTGCAGCATGCAGAAAACCAACTCAAAATCGGTTGGCTCCATTCGTATCAGCTGATTGCCGAGAAGAGCCATTTCTTTGATGCAAGACGGCATCATGAATCTGTAATTGTTACAGTAATCTTTACATTACTGTCTTTTGTCTTAAAAACAGTAAGCCTTAATGTAGTACAGTAAGTTACCTTAAGTTTACTAATCCTTAAACATGGAAAGCTTGAACAGCTAGAGAAACTAGGGCAAATATGGCTCGATAACGATAACGATAACGATAACGATAACGATAAACGATAAATATGGCTCAATTTTCTTGTAATCCTTATGAATCTCAACAAAAAATGCATTTCAAACTGTTTTTTCAATTCAATTTTGATTTGAATAACACTTACTCGATCATTTTCTTCAGCTCTGGCTGTCTATTTGCCCACTCGCCGTAGTTTTGAAAGTCGTAGTATCTGAAAAAGGTTCTTGAACGTTCAGTCTACTATAAGTTAATGGTTTATTGTCAAAATTGTTAAATTATTGTCACTTTTTACAATTTTTCTTCAAACAACTCACTGTCCCCCATAGCCGACCCAAATATTGACTGCTGGTCGCCCAAAACATCGCACGGCCGCCTTGTAACGCTCGAGAGCGCAGAAATTATTCCAAAACTTTTTAAACACAATCCACTAAATACCTTTATTGCTGAAGTTTTGAAATTGATTTTTAAACCTTTTGATCCTTTTCCAAATGTGCGAAATCATCAAGACTCATACAAAAAACGGCAATATTTTCGATTTCTTTGTTGATAAAACCGGTGAGTTCTTCCATAGTTAAAGGGCTGCCCGGTCGGATCTAAAACTCTAAGTTCTAAGCTTGAACAGCTAGAAAACTAGGGCAAATCTGGCTCGTTAACGATAACGATAACGATAAACGAAATAATCATAGAAAGCTTCTTAGTAAAGTCATAAAGGTTTTAAATTTCAAATCTTTAAAACCTTTGAGAAATTTGTTTTTATAATTTTATAGATTTCTCACATGTTCCGGTGTGCAAAGCGGCCATTTTTGGATGTGTTCATTGAGAGCGACGAGGGCTTGTTGAGTCAAAGACAGCTTGATCGGCAAAATGAAGTTTGTGAGGGGAACTGACTGAAAGGGTTTTTGGTTTAATATGAAGGCATGTTACTGGCATTTAGAAGTATTATAACAAAGAATGTTTCAACCGGGCTGAAGGCCTGTAAACCAAGTCAGGCTGAACAAAGTAAGCCCAAAAGCCAAGTCTTCTAGAACTTCTAGTGGGATTTCTGGTGAGACTTCTGTAAAACCAAAGGCAAAGATCTTTAACCGGCCCCACAGTTCCAGCTACTAGTCTTGCCAGCTACCAGACTTGCTAGCTACCAGTCTTGCTAGCTACCAGTCTTGCTAGCTACCAGTCTTGCTAGCTACCAGTCTTGCCAGCTACCAGTCTTGCTAGTTACCAGTCTTGCCAGCCACCAGGCTTGCTAGCTACCAGTCTTGCCAGCCACTAGGCTTGCTAGCTACCAGTCTTGCCAGCTAACTGGCTTTAAGCTCTAACCCTTGTGATAACATAAAGCTTTCAACTTAGATTTAAAGCTTTAACCTAATTTGAACTATTCTTAAATCGTATTCTTTAAAAATCACCGATTCAAACATCGAATTGACTCGATTTTTCAGGGATTTCTGTTTCTCGTAGAGTGCCATTTTTTCCGTTTGCGAGATTGAGTTCGAATCGTTTGATTTCGTTTCACAAATCCCCGAAATTGATGGGCTTGTTTCCTAAAGAATTGGTTTTTAAAAAAGAATGACGTTGTTTCCACTCACTCTAATTATCGTGGTAATTGTTGAAGGTGGAGTGCTCACTTCACTTAAAAGATTCACTCCTTGAGGCGAGGCGTCGAGTTTATCCTGGGAATTCGGTTGAACCACTAAAAATCAAAAATGTTTTAAAAGTTTAGATTTTTAGACTTTAAATTGAATAAAAGAACATCTTTTGAACTATTTAATTGTCTTAAATAGTATGAATTTATTTGTAAAACTTTTCTGATAACTAATCAGTAAAAAGGCGATTTTCGAAAGTGGAAAACGATAGAAAAGATAGAGAATTGAAGAATATACATGGCTTAGTCCTTAACCCGAGCTAGCAGTCTGGTAGGATCAACCAGATATCCGAACTAAGATTTGCATGGCTTAGTCTTTAACCCGAACTGGCAGTTTGATAGGATCAACCAGATATCCGGACTAAGATATGCATGTCTTTAACCCGAGCTAACAGTCTGATAGGCTTAAATTTAAAGAAAATTAAAGCCTTTCATGAAATTTCTTTATATTCAACTTTTCTGTATCTTTTCTTTGAAAAAGTATCTTTGTTTAAAAGCATAAACTCAAAATTTGACTTAAAAACTTTCTATTCAAATAAAATTAGATTGTTATGATTTGTTTTAAAAAGAAAAATAAATGTTAAATGTTAAATACTTCTCTTAATCCTTCTCTTAAGATTATTCTTTAAAATCTATAAAAATTTCTTTAGATTTTCGAATTTTTGATAACTTACTGGAAGGTCGCATTCCCCGATCAAGGCATTTTTGAAAGCGGCAACATCGACAGCTGAATCGCTGTTCTAAAACGGAAATTTTCTAAAGTTTTCTAAAGTTTTCTAAAGTTAAAGATTTAAAGATTCGTTTTAGCAAGTTGTTTTTCAAAGTTAGCAATCAAAAAAAAGATTACATTCAGCTTATATTCCACACTAATTACATCATGGAGGTAAACCAGAGAACGAAAAAAAAGATCGCCACCGTTTTCACGATTTCATCACAAAGAAATTTGCGGGAAAAGAGAGACTTTTAGTCTTTCAATTTTCATTCATTGATTGCAAAAATAGGAAAATATAGATTATGAGCCAAAGATTTCTCCGATTTGTCATCAAATTTTCATTGAACCAAAAGAAATTTCCGCTGATCAGAGTACCAAAAATTAGGTGGGGAAAAGAGAAGAGTAAACAGCGGAAATTCGGTGAACTTTGCGTGAACTTGTTGGAAAGTTTTAAAAGGAAATGTTGTAGAAAGGAAAAGAAAGGTTTTTGAAGTTTTAAAGTTTTAAAGAAATGTTTGAAGAACCCACTTTTTGTCACATCACAATGGTGCTCTTTTTGGCATTTATAGACGAGTTTAAGGACGACCGAGCGACGAAAAAACGCGGCACCTAGAGGAAATTTATAGATTAAAATGAAAATTCAGCTCTTTAAATTATTAAAAAGAAAAATTTCCGGTCATTTTGGAAAAATCCGGGTATTTTTAAAGAATCCAGGTATTTGAACGGATCGTCACCATTTGAAGGCCTATAACTTTGTCCAGAGATAATATTTATGTTAACTTTTTATATCATTATATAGAGAACATTTTAAGCTTTCAAATGATACCAAATAGAGCTTAATTAGATAATCCAGTCCAAGAAAATCAGAGCCAACTCTAAGCGAATGAGGCCTACCTAACT